CATAATATCTCATTAAATAATAGTGAGATTCGCATTAAATAACACGATCTTAAATCACAAGTCATTGATTCTCCCCTCTGAAACCCGCATATTTTTACAATAAACCGTGACTTTTTGAATTAATATCTAAAAACCCCATCAGGTTTTCTTTCACCTACATAAAAAAGCTTTTATTTTAAGCTTACAATGATTAAATCTAGGTGTTACATTCTTGCACCCTAAAGGAACAAAATTTTTAAGTCTTTGCATTGCAAGGTCACCATGAAGAATTGCGAAGAACTGGTCACGTGCTTGCTACATATGCTAGCTTTCTGGCTTAGAGGATAATGAACGGTTTGGTATGTATGAAAGAATTTTACCTTGAATTGAAAATGGCCACACATGGACAGACACTTGATTGCCAACACCGACAGATTATATCGATTTGCTACTTTCATTTATGAGTGCAAAATTGTTAATAAAAATCAGACTACATAAGGAATGAAGAACATAGATATCCTTACTACTACAGAGGCAAAAATACAATACGAAAAACAAACGTGTAAATTTTCTTGTCAAGGTTTTTTATATTTTAATCATGAATTCACGATTTAAATGATTTGAACTTGAGTGGGAAAGAATACCCGTAGTGAATTCTAAAAACATTCACGACACTGTCACGTGATAGAATGCGGCACTCTTTTAAAACAAAATAGCAAATGATTTTTTCTACTTGGGCTTGCATGCTTTTGTATCTGTTTTATTGCCTAATGCATTATGTGAAGCGGCTTTCCTTCAAATTCCAGAGTAGAGATAAACAAGATGGAAGGTCTTGAAAAACATTAAATTGTTGATTAAGTCAAATTGAAGACTGTTCTAGTCCCATGTTACTTTTTATCAACATATGCGCAAATAATCAACTTCTTCTTAGCAAAGTCTGTCCTCAAGCTATAAACTCCCAGTTGAGTTGCATAGCCAGGATGATCACGCGACTATTTGTGATTGCTCTTTAAAGCAGCTCGTGGGGAGACTAACTGCAGCCAGTAGCTGAGTTTTTTCAAGATATGGCTGGGTGATTACAATCATTTTGCAATCATTTTGAAATTCATATTGCAATCATTTTGAATATGACATCATCCAAGTACACAGTATGACATTGCAAGATACTGTATAGCATTCTCAAACATGTTTTTCACACCTCATTGCAGATCATATTTGCAACTCAATGATCAAATAAGCAAACCTGATCAAGCAATCAGCAAATTTGCGTGGAAAAACTCTGTATTATTTTAATTCATAAATCAGCATATTGAAGGCTCTTGCGCAGCCGGCACGCTTTGCGACTATGGTTCAAAGGACCGGCCTAATATCGTACTGCATGAAAATACAAAACACAGTCAATTTCTCAAGACAACTACCGTTAAGCATGCCGGTTGCGCAAAAGCCTTTTAGATAATTAAGGCTTTCCGTTGAATGGATTCTTCTTTCATTGTTAACTCATTATCAGGAGATTCATAGTCTTTAGTCATATAGTTATATAGTCATATATATTCATAGTCATATAGTCTTTTAGGCGCAAATCAGAGGTACTAGAAACATTGCAAGAAGACTTTATTAAAGATTTCTCCATAGTAGTTCTTCAAAAAAGGAGAGCGAAAATTCGAAAAATTTGATTTCTCTAGACAGTAGTCAGAATTCAGAAATTATACAGTTCATCCAATGGCGGCGCCAGCCACTATGTTCTGGGAAGGACAAGACAAAAATTTTTAGGCCACGCCCTTTTAGCACCAGAAAACGCCCATTCACTAACAAGGAAAGCTAATTATACCTGAAGGGAACGCCTACTACTAACTTTTGGCTATGTAAAGGCAGTTTGAAAATCATAGGATTGCATAACAAAAAGTACGTTGCCTAAACATTACCCCTCCCTCAACATCTTCTCATCGGATTTAGACGAAAATTGATCCTGCTGTGATCTGGGGGGACTTGTCCCCTTAGTCCTCCCCCCCTCTATTCTCTGTAGTTGAACATTCATAGTATGGCACTAGAGTATAAACTTTTAAACAGAAACGTATAAAAGTGGCATGTAAGAGTATTTATTTTTTACCATACCCTTAAAGAGTGAGACACGCCCTTTTTGTCGGCAAAAATCACCTCTTTTTCCCTCCAAAAAATTTTCTTGGCTTCGCCCCTGCTAGGTACCTAAGCCTTTTTGGACCATAACCTGATTTCCATTGAATTTCTGGTTCTATTGTGAGGTCTGCGTGGTGGGCTTGAATCCTAACGTGTCTGCCCACTGTGGTGAGACTAAGAAGCAATAATCTTATCGACTACACCACAGAAAAATGTATGTTTTTTCCAAGCTCGACTTTTCCGAAATTTCAATCCATCTTCATTCAATATTGTAAAGACTTTTATCAATTGGAACTTTTCTTTCAAGATGCAATATTCAGCGGATAGTTTCAATCCCACTTTGTCTTTTCTTCTTTCCTTTGTCATCACTTCTCGATAGACTTAGCATTTGCATCTGACAAGGAGATAACTTCCCATTCCAAGTTGCAAAGTGCATCAAATGCAATGTTTTTTGCAGAAGTGTAACAATCTGCTCATTTGGGGCCACTTTTGCGTATATAGAGATACGGCAGACCTGTCAACCTTAAATTTTCAAATCCTGGAGATTTTAAATTTTTCCTGAAGAAAAACAGGGAGATTTGGTCAAAAACAGGGAGATCGCAGTAATTCGTTAAGGGAATAAATATACCTGATAAAATGTTTTGCTCGGCAAACAGTTTATGACAAAAGTGATCATGATCTTCATAATCTTCATAATAACCTTTAGTGCTTTTTTGTTAATCAGTAAGCACTAGCAAAAAATTGTTGTCACACGGAAAGTCAATGTGACCATTATCTCTTAATTGTACTTCTGTAATAAGAAAACATACACAATGGACCTGTCTTTGAAGCATATGATGCGCAATTCATTCAAAATATTCGGTGCAGAATCTTCCTAGACATTCTGCTAGACATCTTTAAAACCGGGAGAAAAATTTAAAAAACCGGGAGACCGGGAGAAAGCAGTGAAGACCGGGAATCTCCCCGCGGAACCGGGAGGGTTGACAGGTCTGGATACGGTAACTGCCTAAAAGTTAAAGTAATAGGTCTCTTTCCTTTTTGCGGGTATAAACATTCAACGAGTAAGCATATGCGGTTCAAAGCTCGACAAATGTAAAATTGCAGAACCTTATAATGAACCTTGATAGATAGCTCATAAGCTCAATCTTTCCAAGCCTCGTTATGAAAATCTTTTTAGGGTTTCTACCGTTTGGTATCCTGTTTCTGCCTCGAATGAGGCTGCCGTAGACACAATGTATGATAATCAAAATCAATGAACTTTCTCTAATGATAGTTTGAGGCAGAAAGTCGACAACATCAACAAGATACAGGTGTTTAAAGAAGTTTTTAATTTGCCATAAAAACATAACTAAAATTGACAACCTACCTCAGTGTATAAATAATTGATGCAATAATAGCGGTTGTGCTCGTAGGTGAGCAATAAAAGATTTTATAGTATTTGTTACTGTGATGGGACATGCACCCTTTTGCTATGCATTGATTGGGGAGAAAATGATATTCCAATCATTCTTTATCATTTCTTTCTTATTTATTTAAAGCTTACCTAGTGTTGGCCAAAAAAGTGCGAGGGTTTGACGTTTATGAACCTTTTTCAGAATTTCATCCTGCCAGAGGCACTCTGTATGTTTCTGTAGGGTGACTAAAGTGCCCAAAGTGATTAATAGAAGAAACGCTGTGTTGAGCATGCTTTCACTATGGTTACGAAGAAGGTAGTTCTGCAGTTTAGAAATTTTTAAGAAAGAGGCTTTTGATTCTCTCAGTCAATGAATTTATAAAACAACTGTATTGTCAGTCAAAATTTCCAACAGTCTGAATGCGGAATTTCCCATGCAACATTTTAAATGATTATTATCTACGTGGCTAGATTATGATACACGATATTTTACACAAAAAAGTTTGTCAATATAAATTACCAGCATACACTCATATTCACGTAAGAAGCCGTATATAAAAATGGAACCCTTCGCCAGAAAACCCTAAGACACTGCCCAAAAGTCGCTCTTTTAAAGATGGGCTGAAAATGATTCTTGTCGACGATCTAGCACCTATTTCCTGCTTATTAACACAGATATAAAAAGAAAAAATGCTTCTTGTGGCTTACTGAGTGTTCTGTTCAATGTAATTCCATATTACGTTTTTGTCTTTCTAAAGAAGTTCTACAGAATGAATAAAAGTAGCTCCTTAGCATTTGGATTTTAAAAAATCCTTTCATAAAACTTTGTGCATTAAATCAACAATAGAAATGAAGAAACTGAATGTTAATCACGAGTGTTGCTCTTATATAAAACATGAGCGCACCATTAGTATGTACAATTTATGTACAAGCTAAATAAAAATTGACTGTTTATCAAAATTATGAAAGAAATAAAAACTAAAAATCGTTTCTTAAGTAAACAGTATTTTAAAGCAAGGTACTTTTAAAAGTCTGTTGGTTATTCAAATGCTTTTCAAAACTTGCAAATAGCAAATTAGTTTACAGGTCACATACAAAAAACAAAATGCGCACAATTGTTAATTTCTACTTTATTGAATGAAACGTTTGTAATTACTCGCCTTAACTCGTAAACTCACAAAAATGCGACTATCCCACACGAAGATGTTTGTTAGCTGAGTATTGAAGAACTCAAGGTTGTTGGCGGAAGTGAAGCCAACGTCATACGCCGACGTGGCGCTCAAATAGCCGAAAAAAACGTCGTTTCTCTCAAAGCAAAAATTTTACTTGTAAAATGTAAGTCATGTCTTATGCTTTGACCCGCGAAACTGAAGCGGGAGATAGCATTGATTGTTATTCTTGGCAACGAACACTTAGTGCTACGAAAAATTCAAGTAATATTTAGATAAAACAGGACTAAGGAGATAGCTACACATCTGCATTGCACATTAATGCCTTACATTTGTGTCACTTTAGCTGTGGATTTTTCCCCGCCATTTCTTGCACAGTTTCTGTATTCAAGGTCGAAGCGAATGACATTAGTCTTGCGACGATGTCGGCAAAATGACATGAAAAAGTACAGAATGGGATCAAGTAGAGGATTCAACGCGAATATAATGTCACAGACCATGTAGAAGACGGAACTGTGCGAGAAGAACCTCGCAACACCATACGGGAAGGTACAGATAACAAACGTGAGCATGATTGCGAATGCGTGCATGATGACAACCTCATTCCTGACGGCCGATCCACCTGAGCGATTGCCAATGTCAGCTACACCCTTGCTGACTTTTCTGAACCTGGCAGAGATAAGTGAGTACGCAAGAACAATCAGTGTGCCACTGCCAAAAATGTAAAAACTCATCGCATGGGGAGGGAACAACCTAAAGGCACTCAAGCACGCGAAAATTGCAGAAAGGAACCAAATGGTGAATACTGCGAGAAGAACACGTCGAAAAGTGAAGAATCCTTTTGATCTAAGAGGTTGTCGGATGAGGATCAAGCGCTGAACTGCAATGAAAATGATGTGCAGGCAAGAAGACGAAACGGAGAAGTAACAGCCTGTGTATGCGAATCGAAGCATAACAGTATGGACCACCATCCCTTGTTTGGTTAAGAGTCTTCGCAACCCCTGCAAGAAGAACATCGAAGAAGCCAGCATATCGGCAGCACTTAGACTCAAAATTGATACATCAAACACTGTTTTCTGTTTTCTCTTCAGCAGACAAATAACGACCTGGATGAGGTTTGTGATGACACTGACTGTTCCTACTACCATGATTGAAATTGCCCATGCCACATGCTCTTCTTTCATTATGCTTCGATAATCAAGGAAGCATAAATATGCTTCGATAATCAAGTTGACTTGCAGGCGAAGCACGGCCCAGTGAAATGATCGCAATTTCTCCCATAGAACAGGTTTTTGGTAACTGTGAAAGAACACAAAAAGACGGGGGGTTCATGGTTGGACGAGGGCAGATGTTGTCTTTGAAGTACCTGAGAGACTTCAAGTTGGCTTAATCAGTGTTCGAATGTTTGGTGAAAAATTCCATTAGGAGAAAAATGGAACAGTAACCAATTCCGTTTTAGGAATAGTACAGTGCTTTCTAATATAATCAATTGATAGGTAAATAAATGCTGGCGAAGGAGAATCAGACCAGCTTAAAGTGAACCATCATGTTTGGAAAAGAACCTTCGCCACCCCTGCATTAGAACAAGCCGTGGCAAACACAAAAGAACTTTGCTCGTCATTCCGAAATTGTACCAAACAATCTTACTATCTTTTATTCTAAACGTCTAAAATACAAGTTACAAGCTCCTTAGTTTTCTCTTTTTATGATAAAGGCAAGCCTCCTTTGTTTTCTTGATCTCCGCTAATGTAAAGGTTAACTTGCTGGGTTTTTTGTTGGACAAAAATTTGGGTTTGAAAGAATCATTAAGTCTAAAAAAGAATGAGCTGTACAATTAACAGTAAGAAAGTATTACCTGTCAATATTTCTATCAGCTACCCGGGTATCATTTATCTATCACTAAGAACTACAGAAGGAACTTGATAGATATTCAGATTGGCGGCCTTTTTTGACGGTCATCTATCACCCGGTCTCTTGTACATTCCACCTCCTATACGTCATGCTTGCTAATCGACAAATACAGCACTTCGGTAAGGCTTAGAAACCTAAAAACTGCTTTGAAAAAACAAACATGTTAAGAGATACTAAAACTTTGCGATTGACACTCCTCATTGTATAAAATGTCCGAAATATGAGTGTATACGAAATCACCTGGTGAATCCTGTTGAAGCAACCATATGTTCAAAAAGTGACCTTTGGTGCGTGTTTAGCTAGATTTCCAATGAGCAAAATTCTACACGTATCGACACGGATCGTACAGCCGCGCATGCGTGTTTCTAGTGAATTTTTGAAATACGCGTATCTCAAGAACGTGCATATGCACACAAACAAAGTTGAATTGGGTCCTACTTTTTTACGTACTACGCCGTATCAAGCCATAAAACAACCAATTGAATTTGGAAAGCTAAAGTTCTGTCGAAGAAACGTGTTGCCAGATATCTCAGAGTAACACAAAATAATTCACGAGAACAATTCTCTTTGCAAATAGAACTTAAAACTGATTTGGAGTCATCCTGAAGAATCTAAAGAAGTACTCTTGGTCGTACAAAAGCATATCTTGCACAAGAAGATAAAGCTCTCTTTTAGATTTTCGATCTGATAATAGTTTTCTTACCCAGAACCTTCTCTCCTTGGTAAAACGATTCTTTTTAACAATAATAAAAGAATAATTTTTCCGCTAATTACAGCCGCCATCCATTATTCAATTCACGTGTCCAAAATTTTGTAATGGAAATTGTACCGAAATTCAAACATATGATGCGATGAGCGAAAAGGTTTTTCTATTGGAGATTCAGCTTTATACTTCGCACGTACCGTGCTGTTCTCATTTGAGGTTCGGCATTGGTACGACCCGTGCTACATTATGGTTTTATCTTGAAGTCGCGCCGCTCCATGCCGATTCTGTACCATTTTATGCGCAACATACCAAACACAACAACCATCAAAATCCTGCTAATCTGTTCAGTGCGATTCCTAACTGCTCTATGGGAGAAATTGGTTCCTTGTAGACAAGTACGCAAATAAAGGATCTGATCACATTAAGGATATACATGAAAAACCTCTAGAATCTTTAAACTGAGTAATTTATCCAAACCGCTTCCGATATTTAAAGAAGTATCATTACTTTTAATTATGGTTACGTTTAATCATGATAGGTCTTTCTTTTTGAAACACACTCTGTTTTATAAGAACAACTTTATAAGAACACGAGCCTCAAAATTGATCAAAAATTAAACTCGAATTTACTGGTTCATACAAAAAGAAAGAGTGTATTGCATATAACTTGCTATAAGGAGCAAGCTAATGACTATAAGAAATGACAGCAAGAAATAACTGCAAGACGTTTTCGGAGATGCATTTCAGGCTAATCTGAAAAGCTTTTGTGAAATATCTAAACCTGTTTATTGTTTCAAGTGTTGTTTCATGAATCTCTGATCTATTTTGGTGTTTATCAATTCTAATACTTGCAGAAGACCTTTCTTCAAAAGACTTATTATAAACTTAATCCAGATGCAGTCTGACCAATTTTCTTCTAAACAGAGCACAAAGTAGACACACTGACAGTGCCATCCAGTTGCTCTGAGTATGCAATTCAAGTGTTGTTCCCTCTGAACCGCAGTATTAAAATTTATGCACAAGCATATCTAGTTCCTTTTCCACTTAATACACCTGGTGATTTATGCACTTTGTGTATGATTATGGAAAAGCTAAATATCTGTTAAAAGTCTTATTTTGTGTTAATATTTGGCTCCTTACACAAAAGTAGTTAATGAGCCAAGATTATACAAATTTTCTTACTTTTTCAATGAATTTTTTTATGAGTAAATGCAAGTTTTGTATCTGGCTTCCAGACATTATGCATGCTGGCAACTTTTAGATAAAAGCTCCAATGTTTATCCAATTGACCATCAGAACTGGAAGATTTGGTTTTGATAAAGTATTTGGCTCATCAGTTTTGTTTTCTCCACTGATTCTAAAAACATTTAATGGAAACATTTTTAGAAAACGATCTCTTGGCTTGCTTTTCTGATTGCTTCCTTACTTATTTTGGTTTCTTCTCAAAAGCATGTTAAAGGTTGTTGGAAACCACCTTTTTTGCCAGGAATAAGGAACAATATGGCTTGCATTGAATGATGGATTAAGGTCACAACCACCTACCTTAGACCATAGGCTCAATATTTTGATTGCTAATTATAACATACCTTTAAACCCCAGTTTCTGGATAAAAGCAAACCATGAACACTAAATAACTCTATGGTAAACATAGATTGGGCTCCTCTTCCTAATCTGGCAATTTTTGATTAACCATGTTCAACACAATCAATGCATAGTTTTTTAAAGAGCCCGTAAGTAAATCACCAGCTTCATTATAAAACTGAATGAGAAAAGAAAGTTTCCAAGAAAGCAGAAGATCTCTCATAAGCAAGGCAAGAAGTGCTGCAAGAAAGATGGGAGTGGAAGGCATAAAACTCAGAGTGAAGACAAAGTTCAACAGATATTAATGCTCTCAGTAGATGAAACATGTCATCTTTTCTAATGACAGTTAAAGCGAATTAATTGTACAAACAGTTTCCATTTTCCTTGAACCTAACCAATAATTTATATTTTACATTCTATATAGGCATGCTGAAGCCTGGGGTTGCTGTAGCCCCACATATTCTGACATATCTTATTTAAGTTGTGGCACTAGACATCAGTTGCAAACTTCCCTAAGTGTTTGCTATCTTGTCTATAGAACAGTTATGTCTACACATTTTTCTGGCCGAAATAGCTTTCGAGATGATGAGTAATTCTAGACATAGTCATATGTAGGTGAGGACCGCAGGTTATTGATTGAACATTTCCTGGTAATTGAATAAATCTTAAATGTTGTTTGAGCCTTGATAAAGAAAAGTATAGAAATCTAAAAATATTTTGTCCATTCAAATATTTCTTCAAAGTTAAAAACAATAAAATGGCTTTTGAGGTATAGCTCCTAATCTAATGTCATTTGGTACTTTCTTACAATATTTGAATACATGCAAGGACAAGATAAACAAAAGATGGGGAGCAAGGGGGCATATCAACACTTTTTGCTGTAAACGAGCTTTTCTACAAAATGTTTTCTACAAAAAATTACACCATGCTCAACTCAACCACCTTCTAACTTGTGTCAAAAGCCACCCCCCCCCCCAATGTTTTCTACAAAAAATTACACCATGCTCAACTCAGCCACCTTCTAACTTGCGTCAAAAGCCGCTTCCCCCCAATGTTTTCTACAAAAAATTACACCATGCTCAACTTAACCACCTTCTAACTTGTGTCAAAAACCGCTTAAATTATCACTCTAAATTTACCAGTATTACTTGATAGATATTGCAACTTTAAAAGTCAACACCATACCTTCCTGCAAAAGTAACTTTTCTCCTCCTAGATCCAGCCTTTTCCAGGTGATTAAATATTGAGCTGCTTGCCCTTTAGGTCAGCTTGGCCTGGCCAAGAACAGTAAAAAACAAGGGTCGATCTTTGCTTTTCACTGGCCTTGATATTTTTTTAAATTCTTTTAGGGATCTTTTTATAATTCGAGCCAATAATTGACTTGATTGATTTCAAAATATCCATACTGTATCCGGAACCTGGTTTATCAGACCCTCTACTCGATATCCTTTTGCCAAGCATTTGTTTACCTGAGACCAAGTCAGTGGGAGTCAGTCTTAAAATCCATACATCGCCTGGACCCCAAAATATTTCTCATAGTGACCCCTGTAAAAATTATTTGCCTTATTGATCATACATCGCCTCTACTGACTTACGAGAACAATAGCATTTTAGCATGGTGCAGAAAAGATTTGTTAAAAGATGACCGCGCAGATTCCTAATTTATTCGACTGACTTACCAATGACATTGCGAGTTTTCACCCTAACATCTTTGTTCTAATGACTTATGCATTGAGCTGTGTATTTCTATAGGAGAATTTGTTCATGGATCATCTCCTCGATCATTTGATAGAAAACTTTTGACCCTACAGCTGACAGATCTGATGATTTTGAACAGGAGCTATAGAGAATATTAAAATGGATCAATAACGCAAGTGAGACATGAGAAAAATGTGTTTGAGAGTTCATGTAGACCATTTCTGCTCAATTGCTACAGTTTCAAAATGTTTTGAGGGCAGAAAACAGAACACATGCATTTGTCTTAATGTCTTTCACAAGGTGTTCAACAACTGTTCACTGTTTTTTTTCATTCCAGGCTATTTGGATCCACTTTGCTAATGCTATTGTTCAGGAAAGATAGCTTTTCGACGCATATTCAAATTCAGATAATAAAGACCGTAGAGCGAGCGGCTCACACAACATAAAATATGCATTCGCCTTAATGTATTTTGCAAATTGTTCAACAACTTTTTACTGTTTTTCATCCAAGGCTATTTGCATCTATGTCACTAGTGCATCTATGTTCAGGAAAGATAGCTTTTTGATGCAAATTCAATTTCTTATGACAAAAGTAGACGGCCCACACAACATAAAACATGCATTTGTCTTGATGTCTTTTGCAAGGTGTTCAACAACTTTTTACTGTTTTTCATCCAAGGCTATTTGCATCTATGTCACTAGTGCATCTATGTTCAGGAAAGATAGCTTTTTGATGCAAATTCAATTTCTTATCACAAAAGTAGACGGCCCACACAACAGAAAACATGCATTTGTCTTGATGTCTTATTCAAAGTGATCAACAACTGTTTACTGTTTTTCATCCAAGGCTATTTGCATCTATGTCACTAGTGCATCTATGTTCAGGAAAGATAGCTTTTTGAAACAAATTTAATTTCTTATGACAAAAGTAGCAGCCCACAGAACATAAAACATGCATTTGTCTTGATGTCTTATTCAAAGTGATCAACAACTGTTTACTGTTTTTCATCCAAGGCTATTTGCATCTATGTCACTAGTGCATCTATGTTCAGGAAAGATAGCTTTTTGATGCAAATTCAGTTTCTTATGACAAAAGTAGCAGCCCACAGAACATAAAACATGCATTTGTCTTGATGTCTTATTCAAAGTGATCAACAACTTTTTACTGTTTTTCATCTAAGGCTATTTGCATCTATGTCACTAGTGCATCTATGTTCAGGAAAGATAGCTTTTTGATGCAAATTCAATTTCTTATGACAAAAGTAGCAGCCCACAGAACATAAAACATGCATTTGTCTTGATGTCTTATTCAAAACTTGGAAAGGCAACAGTTACCCAAAGCATCTGTTTAAGAATCTAATTTTTTGCAACTGAAATTCGCAATATTTTGATTGCATGACCCTAGGACAGAAGAGCAAATGGATAAAATACTACATAGAGTTTAACTGGTCGAGTAGCTAAATGGTAGATAACATCGTAGCACGTGACACTTGTCTATTTATCTAATCAGCTAGTTTTTTGAAAAATATCTTTTTCTCGATCAATGTTGTCTTGAAAAAACGTAATTTGGGGCTTAGAAACGAGTTTAATGGCAAGTTAAAACCATTATCTTTTTCAGATCATCAAGTTCATTTTCAGCATGAAAAACTTGGTATTTCCAGCTATATTTCATCGGTATATTTCAACTAAGTATTTTCATGGAATAGCATTTTCCTTTAAACGTTTTCTTTAAACTGTCCCAACACAAGAATAAAGAAGCTTTTCAGATACATCTTGTCTACTTCACAGGTGACAATCAGGCACATTGAAGTAAAAATTCATGGAAGCTTCTTCGTAAATCACTACAAAACGTGAGAACGGCCCGTGATCTTAGTTAAGGCAAGATCATTTCACAGTCCACACAGAACCAGAAGCAAAGCTCGAATAATACTACATAATTGATAAACCTTTTAGACTATCAGCTGACTACAATTTTTGATAAAAGTACTACTCTGGGTAACTGAGCCTCAAAAATCCGGGGATTAAGAATTGTAGACAGCTGCGGTGGCAAAGAATGAATCCTCGCTCAAAAACATTTTCTGTGACTAGTTTCTATCTATATTTCTGAGACTAAAATATGGAGATTTGGGCACCTAGGAAAGAACATACTCTATTAAAAATCCCGAGGCTCGAATTTTCCAAGAAGTAAGAACAACGTAAGAACCAGTTCATATCTCAAGGCAACAAATTTTACGAAAAAACAATCCTTTTACAAACTATTCGCTCTTGCTAATAAACAGAGATAATTTCATCAGCAAATCGATAGTGATGCTTAAATTAAAATGCAAACCGATGTTTCTTTGGTCTTAGAAAAAGATGCTAGTATCTTCTAGATTAAAGTCACCAAGAAACTTTACACCTAGCAATCAGAATGCAACTTTTCAATGTCAATAAAAAAACAAGTTGATTCGATCTTGGAAGAAGCTCGCTTAGAGGAGGAGCTAGATGTCCCCAAAAATTGAAGACCAAGAGAAATCAGTCAAGTTTATCTCTTTCAGTCAAGTTTATCTCATTCTTGAGAAATCAGTCACGTTTATCTCTATCTTGAAGTGAGAATTTTGGTTGCTGGAATTGCGATGGTGGCTATTACTTCTTTGATCATTTCAATATAATTTGAATATCACTGGTATACTATCGTCATAATGCATGCATATTTTTTAATTATAAAATATGCAATATTTTACATTTAAAAATCTCAAAAAGTGAAAACAATTTAATGCTAAATTTGATCAAAACGGACATGCTGCACCAAGTAGATTTTCCCCATTCAAATAATTTGAAAAACTTTACATCTAGCAATCAGAATGCAACCTTTCAATGTCAATTAAAAACTAGTTGATCAATCTTTTAAGAAGCTCGTTTAGACGTCCTCGTCCTAAGTTGCTAGTTGTGGAGGAGCTAGATGTCCTAAAAAACTAAAGACAAGAAATCAGTCGAACTTATTTCTATCTGGAAGTGAAAACCAGAAAAGACCTTTGCTAAAATTCAAGATTAATGCCGGCATCGTTATTATTGATAGTGTTACAGCAAAGATAATTAGGCAATTCATGTCAATTGGCGAGATATTGGAGGGGTTCAGTATTCTTTGATTTTACACAATGTTGAGGGAAGATGACCTAGCAAGGGATTGCAAAATTCTGCGCAGCTTAAAAGGATGACTTATCTCCTAACATCACTGAGGAGTCACTTTTCCTAAGAAGCATCAAGCACCCGAAAAACTTGACTATAGCTCCATCATTTTGCAGATTTTGCGGAAATTGTTTTGTTAACTAGCTAGAAAATCACCTAAAGCTACTAACTCTGTTTGACAAACATAATGGGGCTATAATACTGTTGCTGCTTCTACCTTATTTCATTTAAAGGCTTTTCCTATCATATTTACTATTATTGACAGGTTTTGATAATGGAGAGGCTAGGTATTAATCATTTAGTTAAGTTATTATCTATGGGCCTCTAAAGTCATGGGCCCCCGGGTCAGTGACCCCCTGACCCCCTCTCCTCAGCACTGGGGTAATTGGCTGAATCCTGTACGATTTGGTTCCCGAAGGACAAGGTGGCTACTTTTTGCTTGGAACCAAATCGTATTCAAATGAATACGGCACGAATACTTGTCCTAGACCGCGACGGTATGAAGTAACAACGGTAGGTGTAATTGGCTGAATCCTGTGCGATTTGGTCACCGAAAGACAAGGGAACCAAATCGGATCGGACTCTGTCTTTTACAAGATACCATTGTTATTTCATGACGTATTGGTATGCGACTTCAGCTAACCCTTACTTTTATCAATCCCCCCAAATAAACTGAAGATCAATATGGTATGATATCGTATCGTATCACATCCTTGTCGCTTTTCTTTGTCTCGAAGAGGGGGACCATGAAAGATAAAAGAGTTGATGAATTCGATTAAATGGGAGTGGTCCAAATTGATAAATTAGAGAAAGATGGGAGAAAGGACGCTATTTTCTTGCAGAGCAGTCACATACCAAGATTAAATGATCAAAAATGGGATTTCATTTATTATATACAAATGCTTGTTATTATGTTTTCTACTCATAAGATATCTTCATTACAAATATGCACAGTGGTAGAAGAAGGAATTCAGGGAATTTGGTCTTCAAGGTTTACAAATACTGTCCAAAGGGGTCTCTAGGTTACTCAAAGACGCCTCACAGTGTCCGAAGGCCAAAAAATGTAACAGGGAAATCTTTTATTATTACGGAGAGAAAATTAATTATTACGGAGAGAAAAACAATGTTCCGTCTATATGTGGTTCTGCATGACCCAGTTGAGTCGTGTAAGTGTAGCATGACCACAGGTATACTCGGTTAATATAAACCTACGACAATTTAGATAGTCCCTTTAATTTTTTAAGGTCTAGGATTTTGCCAAATTGTTTGTTATTCTCTTTGTCTTCCTGTTTCGTGGACGTATTTCTAACGGCCGCATCCTTCGCGGATGGGCCATGTCTGTTCGGCAACTGCAGGTTTGCGACGGGTTGACTCTCAAGGAGATTATATCTTTGCATATACCTTTTGGTAGCAATGGACATATTACACGACACATTTACACTAACATAGTTCATATTGATTCGAGGCATACCCGCGGGCATACCCGCGAGTGCACCAGCTACGTCGCCTTCGAACTTGACGCTTTTCGTCTTCTGCGTCACGTTGAGCTTAACATCACGGACTTGGTTTGATGTTAGGTATTTCATGGCAATTTCGTCCGCGAGTATATTAGCCTCATCTCCTGTGTCATTGCCAAGCAGTGATACATAGTTTATCCGCGGGTGGAAAACCGCGCCATCTCGTGGAACCAGTCTGCTTTCAGCGTCAGTGGCGTTCAAAGCTCCCCTGCAAAAGAAGAAGTGTATCAAAAAGATTACACTCTTTTTTATAAGAACACGAGCCACAAAACTGGTCAAAAATTAAGAACAAATTAAGAACAAGCGGAGGATTACCCTCTTTTTTATAAGAACACGAGCCTCAAAACTGGTCAAAGTTAAGAACAAATTAAGAACAAGCGGAGGCTGAGCTGCAGTAAAATGGAATTTTTAACAACGTTTTATCTTAAAAACGAGGATTTTTACCCATGTGTGGGTGCTTTTTCGGTGAATATTCAAACTTGTTGGCAAATGAAGGTTGTCTCACTCACTTTGTTGGCAAATGAGGCCTTGACAATTCCCTAGAGCGAAAAAGCTAGCAATCGCACAGAATCTTAAAATTAGGATTAGTCAGCCTGAACTTAAATTTACTGGTTCTTATAAAAAAAGAGTGTTATTCGCTTTAACAACAGAACGTCATTTCCTCTATACTTTCATATATCTTACAATTAAATAAAAAACAACAAATAATAATAATTATCTACAATGTTACCACGAGAAAGTTTTTTGTCTCAAATACTTTCTCACTTGAGTGTCTCTTGAAAGAAAATAGAGAAACGAGCGCTGGATATTGAGCGCTGGAAAACGAAGAAACTTTAGTACCATTCTGGTAACATACAGGTTCTTTGTGGAAAATTTACAAACCCAGCCTTAGAATTTTTCCAAAACATTATTTCTCAAATATGCCAATTTTGATTTCATTCAAAATATCACAAAATGTTGATTCCCCTTCCAGTTGAAATTGTTTGCGCTCAAGCACCTCCTTAAGGCAAATCCTTAATCAAACACAAACGTGTAGAAAAATACAAGAATTTTGTAACATTTTCGTAATTTCGAGAAAACACCGTATCTTTTTTCAGGATATCTATGGGAAGTGTGCCAGTTTGTCACTGATTAAAGGCTTATGCGCGATAGGCATGCTGTGCGATTATGATTCTAAAATCGGCCTAATATCGTCCTGCATGAGATTCGGAAACACAGGCAATTTCACAAGACAGCTGTCGCAAAGCATGCCGGTTGCGCAAGAGCATTTTAATATAGATATCAGGATATCATAACAGCAAAACAAAAGCTGAGTTACATTTCGAGTTTATCCACAAGCACATCATGCTGTCGGGTGCTCTCGTTGACGCCATTTCCTTCTTCCAAGCTGTTTGAAAAACGAGAAAGATCTCTGAAATCCGAAGGATCGTCGATATTCTCTAGTCTCAATGTCTCTTTGTTTGTTTCAACCTGGTCGTTTAGGAGATCCTTCACATCTTCCTAGATGGAGAAAATGGAAACAAGGTCTTGCAGACGAACAGGCTTTATGTATGAGTGTGAATGAGTGTGTAAATATCGTGCGACCTACTGAAAAAAGCTTTCAGGATTGGCACACTTAGCGAAACATTGCAGCAAATTCACTGAAACGAGCTCTCAAAGGGACTTCTAAAAATTCAAGGAGAATGGAAAGCGGTATTTGAGACTAGGATCCATTAGAAAATTTTCCTTAAAAGGAGAGCTTGAGTTTTGAAGAGCAAGTGAAAAAGAAAATACGCTAGGTAGTTTCTTAGCGAAAGTTGTCAAGATTGCAGGAAAAGCAAGTCTCATTTGCTTGTTATTTGTTTGAAGACAAAAATCTCTTCTCAATGAACATGAATCTTTGCATAGCCTAAAAATATATTCTCACAACAAGCCTCGTCTTCAATAATAGCCTCATAGGTTCTCTCTCAATAAATATATCGATTTTTTTATGTACATCTCCATTAAACGGACTTACAACCATTTGTTTGTAGAAATTTGCCTCCTCTTCATCTGCAGAGCCGGTATGCTGATCATGATCACCAGAATGATTAGATGATTTCGTTGAATGATTCAGACTCACTTGGTTTTGATTTACTTGTTCGTAAATCATGCTTGCACTAGCACCTAAGAGAAATTACATGCAGGTACTTTAATACGGCGAATGACTTTTGTTAAAAGACCTTTCCCAAATTACGTCATGCAGGCAATGCATTCTGGCATTGTAGTTAAACCCATGAATATTTATTTATGCTTTCTAGGCCGAGCAGACGAAGTTCTGTTATTATTCCTCTCACTTTGCTCAAATTATCAAACAAATCATGGAAAATACGGCAGAATTTACCGTACACTTCCCTGGGTTTTCACAAAGCCCGGTAATTAGTGATGCAGAAAGTCGTTCCGACGGCAATTTGACAGCCAGCAGTGATATGATAAGGTGTAGGCCTAAAGAACGGGAAAAGTGTGACTTATGCTATTCTATCATTGATGATACTGCTAAGGCTCGATGTACTTATTTTTTTGGTAATTGGAGGGTCGCGTGCTCTCAACATCGTTCTTATGTCAACATTGGTTATTCTACATTTAAATACTATAAATTGTTTACTACTAAACTTTTAAATAACAGTTTTGCTTGACATGTTTAGAACACGGTTTAATTTGCTGATCTTTTTTGTTAACATGACCGAACATTTTCAGAAAAAAATTTGATCTGACTTCTAATTTTCTACCTGAAGTTGATCAGGTTCTTACGTTCTTCTTACATTAATCGGGTCGTGGTGTTCTTAGAACTCATTTTCTTATAAAAAAGAGGTTAAAACGATACTCAATAGAAAAAAATAATATTTTCAGCGTTTTAGGGGAAAAACTTTTAGGCGATCGTACATTTTTGGAAATAGCCTTGTTTCGGGACCTATCACTCTAAAAATTGCAATTGAAGAAAAGGGGGAGCCACACCGGCGTACCTAGCTCCACATCGTCTGGCGAATTCGGGTCGATGTTTTGGCTATCATCAAAAACAGGTAAGTCAACGGCGTTGAAATCTGAGGCGAAACTTTGCATGGAGGCTGACATGTTATTCTCGGACAAACTGTGGACATGTATATCACCACATTTGATTTCAGAGAGACTGTACGATTCAATAACATCCGGGGTCTTTTCATGGTTTCCGTTGTTTGGTGTCAATATAGGGCAATCTTGATTAACCTCGAGTGAAAATGTCTCTAAACTCTGCTGTGTTTGACTTGGTCTTGAGCGTCTTATTTTTCTAAGATCAAACAGATAGAATTATATCTCTGTTGTGATGGAAAAACAGATTTCGAAGTATCCAAGAATCGATCGTATAAAATATAAAAAAAATGCGTCTTTTAAAAGAAAAAAGGTTTATTTTGAGTACGATTTTGTCAGCTATGTCGAAAAGACTTAATCCTAATATCTTTTTGACGTTGCGCATTGCCCTTTTAGACAAATAGTTCAGATAAGAAAGAAATATCATACTTCAAAGAGGGAAATAAGCCATGCCATGGAGGTTACGAAAAATTTAGAACCGTCACATATGGTGATGACAACGAGAATTAAGATCCATTCAAAATCTTTTCTAGATCAAATCCGATATTTTCAAGAGCGGAATTTCGACAGTCAAAAAACCTTACGAACCTCTTACACTTTTCACAGCAGCTGCAACTAAGGGCCCCTTCACTTGGGTCTCTGCCATTCCAGATCAAACTCTCTCCTGTGTTTATCCCAATAGAAATTGCATCCTTTCTGCTTTCCATGAGACTGCATTGCGTTGAGATTTCTGCTTTTGGCGTATCGACTTTCGCTAGCTCATCACGTCTCAACTCTTCATTTTGTTTTTGTTGCAGTAACACACGAATCTACAACAAATCTCAAATCAAACCGTTATTGCTAAAAGCGTGAGTAGTACGTTAACAATTTTTCCTACTGGAGATCAAGCTATCAGGGAAAAGTTAAGTGGTAGAGAGACTTCGGCTATCAATGGTTTATAGAAATCAAATCAAAATGGGGTTTCAACATGACATATCAGGAAATTTTAAAACCTACGAGTGCTTCAACGTGTTGTGTATCAAGAAGGCACAAGGAATGGCTTCAAAGAAATTGAAAAGAACGCCCAAGACCACTTTCAGTACAAAATTGACACAAATATTGATATCTTTAATACTAGAAATAATAAAGAGTTATCAACCTGCGTGCACTAACACGCAACCGCGGCTGATTGTAATATTATGTGACAAGTTTTATCGTAGCAAATGACTTCGCGTAGCCCATGCGGAAATGGGTAACGACGATGTTGTTGTATGCTTGCTCCTTCGTCATGCGCAACAATAATCATGCGGTGCAGAAAAAGTACACAAGAAAATCCGTCACCTGGTCACGAAGCTCAAACAGCTGTCGTTCATGTTCTGCAATAACAGACAAAGTATCGGTCTGCATGGCACAGTTGGCTGTGGCACTAGTTATTCTTGAGTCGTGATTATCTCTATAGGCCCCCCGCTCCTCGGTACCAATTAAGGCTTCATTAGTTCTTTGAGCAGTCACCAATTGGTCTCTTTTCGTAGTGTTATTTTGAGCAACTTTTCCAGTTGCATCAGAATTATTGGCATCATTTGTGCCATCATCTTGATCAGTTTCAACGGTGCCTTGATGTGCAACTGTTCTCTTAATGAAACAACTGTCCTCCACACCATCGCCGAAATTTATATCACTATTTGAAATGTCAAGTAAATCTTTAGGCATTGTCCTGCGTTCAGGTTGAATACGGGCTTGCCCAGACCTAACGGAAGCCTGTGACACATCATTCCTGCTTTCTGGTGTACCATTTTCCTGGTAATCCTGTGGATTGTACTCTCTTGTGGAAGAAATGATTGGTTGCACCTCGATGAGAGACAGCTCAGGAACCAATGGAGTTCGAGGGTGCGCCTGGCGATACAGAAGAATGTTTATCTAGAGCATGTTGTTATTAATGCTGTAGAAACAGATTTGAACATGCTTTTTTACGCAGAACAGAACGGTTAAAAGTTCCTACTGCGCGTTCACATTGGTTAGACTAAACAATAGACCGATTTTTAGGTAGCCAATAGGTAACGTAAGACTAATTTTCGACATTTAATCAACCATGAACGCGCCGCAGAGCCCATTGTTAATTTTGAAAAGTTAACTGACGGAACATGGAGCTTTTAAGCAAAATCTACTTTACCGCTACGATATAAAAATTCAGAATTAAAAATTTGAAATAAGCACGTGCTGAAGATATCAGTCCATTTGCTCTGTATATGAGGCTACCATAACTTTATCTAAGCCTAATATTTAATTGTTAAGTGGTTTGTTCGTTATGTTGATGGAGATCTTTTACGGTTTACCAGGCTGTAAAGATTTTCCTGTACTATGATATATTAGTATTTTACGCGTTTTGCAAGATGAAACTTTTGAATTTCCTACACGAAATGTCAATATTTTCATTGCAATATTGCATGCAACGGTTTTTCCAGCATCTTCTAAAATTAAGAAAGCATCATGCAAGCAATTGATGAAGAATAAAAGTATGATTCAAGTTGAAGTTGTCTTTATAACATTTTTTGGACTATAAAATGTTATAAAATTGACGCTTAAATTCGTGTATCATGACAATCGAAATGGGTTGCAAGCTTTCTGGATCTAGATCGGCCAGCTGGTAAATCTATTTCGAGCACATATTCTGATCAACCCATTCGGACCTGATACGATGAAAACGTAATGGCCTAAATGACTTGTCAGTTTAAGAAAGGTAAAGTGGAGGATTGAACAAGCCACCAACAACAATTACTGTCAAGGGTATTTACAAAAAATTTTCCAGTTTACCTTGAAGAAAGCACAATTTACGCACAAAAAAAAACTAAGAGGAGAAGGTTTGATGAACAAATGCCCGAATCTTAATTGAAAAAGATCAATTGCTGGTTTGACAAAGTATACCTCCGTCAATATTGTAAAAGGCTTGGGACATGGTCGCGGAGTGGACGGATCATCTTTATCTTTGTATTGTCCAATTGGTATGAAAGAGGCGTCGCTTTTTGGCATTCCGTTGCCTTCAAGAACTACTTCCCTGCAAAAAAGTATTTCAGAAATTTTTTATCAAAACGATCACAAATGTTAGGAACACCATTGCAACAGAAAACAATAAATTTTTTCAAAATGACATAAATTAAACGAAGTTAGTAAATGCTATTGTAAATTTCAAATGATGTAGATAAAATTTGATTTCTTTCAAACATCATCAATTGCAAAGGAAAAGGCGATATTTCATATTTACACTCGTGTTGGTTAAAATAATCTAACATGGAGGTTCGGCGAGACCAAAGTACATATAAGCAAATTAAAAAATAGTTACGTTTATATTACGTCACAACCCTACACAATGACGTTAATACTCCGTCACAACTTTGTAAACATGTTATCTGTACCACACACTTACAGAAAGGCGTCAATTTGGATGAAAACCACGTCAATAATCATACCGGGTCAGTAATGTATTCAAAGCAAAAGTTTCCAGCTTGCTGCGCGCCTTCCAGCAAGCCTGGTTCCCATTGCATTCTTAAGTGATATCATTTTATCTGCATGAGTTTAAAATTGCAGTGGGAACATCGCCTGGGTTTAAAATTTGGAAGTTAAACACACCTGAACTCACAAAAAAGTTAAACATAATAGAAATTTGTTTTTTGATTTGTGAAGTTTCTCTTTCGGGTGACCAAACGGCTTTGGTTGGTGTAGCTCGCAAAAATCAAAAGAAATGGGCATACTCTCGTTCGACCCGGCCTCAGCTCTCTGAACAAAGTACTAGAAACACCAGGATCCTCTTGAATTTTTAAAATTTCTCAACTCAGCACTACCTAGCCTTTTCCGTAGCTTTTTGCAGTCTTCGCAACTGTGCAACTCACACAGATAAAAACCCTTAAAATCAAACAAGACTGCGGTGGGAACCAGGCGGCTACTCGATATAAAAGGTGTACGAATTTCTCTACAAGCAATTAATTTCATCGATAACTTCTGAGAGAAATGTAAAAATATAAACAAGAAATAAAAACCAAAGTGCTGAAAGATGAAGAAAACAAAAGGCAATACAATGAAATTAACTAAATGAAAACAAACTTCTTACTTTCTAATCCTATTTCGACATCATAGTAGTTTAAGTAAACTCTATGGATTACCTTTGGACAGACAGGTCCGTAAAATGTCCGCGAACCGAATCGTTAAGAGTGAGGATTTTGACGTCGAATTCTGCATCGTTTTCTTCAATTGGCAAAAGATCGAAACAGATATCATTTTGGGAATCGCTGGTTGTTTTTTTCTGGAAGGATAGAAAACCTGTGTGTAAAACACGGAAAAATAAAGGGCATGTGAATGACAGAAACCAAAAAGGCACTTTACCAATGATATAGGCACCTAAATTGCTTAGAAACAATTAGATTTTTTAGAATTGACATGAAAGAAAAACTGCAAAGAATCAATCAAAGAGACTGGAAAACATTTAGATAACAAAATGGCTTTGTTTCAAGTACATCTTTAGGCTGCCTCGCTTTCCATTCACATTTTATGCTGCTCTGTTTCCTGTTTCAGTTTGAAAAGGGCTACTCTGCGGAAATTTTGGCCACTTTTGCCAACAATACCATCTTTTTATCGGCGGTATGAAACGAATGACCTTTTTGATATCTAGGCAAATACTCAAATACTCAAGTTTGAACAATTATTTGGACTGATTACAAACTATACTGCCACAAAAAGGTCTCTAAAGGGGAGATCTCTAAAGGGGGGGGGGGCATTATTATACTAACGAACCTTGTCACAAACAGGAACCAGTTTCTATTGGCATTGTGTACCAAAATAACTGCTAGTGGTTTTTGCCTACTAGATAGCTGACAAATTGATATCATGCGATAATTCGAAGCTCGATGGACTGGCATGCCTTCGAAAGGAAATGAATCTATTAAAGTTAGAAGTCACGATCAAACTTACCGAACTGAGGACCAATTGTTCTTTACAAGTTAAAAGATCAAAAACTTTGCCACCATTTGCATCTAACTACAGAAAATTGAAGAAAAAAAGATGAAACTTTGAAATTGATAAGAAAAATGTTTATTAATGTTATCAACCATAGAGCTAAAACCTTGACTCGTTATTGTGCTTCTAGCAGTGGCTAATTTTAGAGGAAAATATGTATGCAATAATAAAGGTCATAAAAAGGATCCAAACAGAGTTTAAATAAAAGTTTAACAAAAGTTTCAATAAATTTATATCGCTATTCCCACATTGACAAAGCTATCAACAAAATAATGCCAATTACCGTTGGTTGACTTTCGTAGAAATCTGGATGTCCTTTCGAAGTGGGATAATGTAGAAGGAGGAAGGAAGATGGTGGAGCTATAACTCTGAAATGAAAAAAAATGCAAGATTAAGAATCGTTTCAGGGAGAATTATCTTGTCAGCGTTTAACATCGCTAATAAAATGAAGAAATAGTTTACTTTCTGACAACGGAGAAATGTACCACTCTGCATCATAGGGACTAAAAGAACATTTGTGCCTAAGTGACAATGAGTTTATACGATTGGCATTCGACATTTCTGCGAACCCGTTGCACCAGGTGTTTCCCTTGAGGATGCCGAGGAAACATTGCCCAGTTATGTAACGAGTTTAGTATTATTTTAGATGTTCAATTTTGATATACGAGGCGTGGGGCCAAGTAGAAAAATGCTTCTTTATGGAGGGGGTTCTTGCAGAAATCGTCATAAACAAATGTTGCCTGTTTATTAGCAATCCGGTGTCAAAGCTTCTTGATTCTATGAAACCTAGTACTGAGTACCTTTACAATAAGCATCTGAAAAATGGTTTGGTTCTTCCTCCTTGCATATTTGCAGTCCATATATATTTGCTTTTACAAGATTTCCATGTACTTAATTAAGAGCAAAGCGGGTACAGAGCGCAGACGGCGCCCGTAACTATGGACCAGGCACTCAATTTTGAATTTTAAATGAAAATAAAACGGAATAGAACGACAGCTAATGTGTTTTGCTTGATGAATATCAAATGTTTAGGTCAAACCGGGCTCACGAAGGGCTTTTCAAAGTTGTTCGCATATGAGGGCCAGGTCGAAAACGCGGAAAACGCGGAATTCTCATTCCTTTAAAAATAAGGTCTTATATCTCAATTCTTGAAAGAGCTTTGTTGCTTTGTTGATGTCTTTCCATTCCAGAAGCTTCAAGCAAAATTTAACTTTTCCGTGTGTTCCGCGTGTTCCGCGTTTTCGACCTGGCCGCATATGAGCATCATTTGGCTTCATTTCGATACCTACTAATGCTTGATAACCATCATTGTTAATTCCAAAATTTTGACCCAATCTCTGTAGTACTTAAACGTATATTTTTTGTAAGTAGACAATAATTTTCATTCAGTCTGCACATTCTTAAGAAATTTTTGTTTTGAGCTAGAATATATTCAAATCTGAAAAAAATCGGGATATGCCAGGCATGAGAATCTCTGTTCTGAACATCACAGCAGGCAACTGCTGACATATGAGCTGAGGCTCAGCAATATTCTTATACAATATTCTTAAAAACCGGAGATTCTGACCCTAAATACACTTTTAACAAGTTACCTTTATAAAAGAAGGGTTCAGCACACTTTGTTAGTTTAAAAGAGGTTTAAAAATTTGATTTATTATTACTGTTTTGATTAGTAACCGGGTTTTAGATTGATATTCCAGCAATATACAGATTATCTTTCTTACCGGTGATCAAAATATTAAGTTGTAAAAATATTCATATATCAGCATCAAGGAAGAGAAATGTTCAAAAACCAGAGATAAATTTAAAAAAATTTGCTTCAAGAAACCCAAAGGTTTTAGGACAACGTTGTTACGTCAGCAAGCTGCCACGTGTTTTGTATTTTGAATATCATTTTAGCTTTAAAGTCTCTGTTCATGAGAGAAAAGAAACTGTTTCATACATCTGATTGTAAAACATATTATTCTTGCGAACTGAGACATGAAATTTGAGGCTGTAGATCTCTGTCTACCGGCACAGCACGATCCAAATCCACAGTTGCATAATTTTGAGTTTAAGCGTTTCCACTTTAGTTCATTATTCTTCTTAGTTGGTCATTCGTTCTGCTTCGGTCAATGAAAAACACCTAATAGATGTTGGGCTTTTAAGATGTCTTATCTTTTATTGATTAAATGTGATTGACTTCTATTTCATTTTGTCCATCTAGTGAAGAAATTGAGCAATAAAGGAATATCTTATCTCTAAAGCGGCCACAGCTGCCATAAGCAAACTAGAATCAGTTTTAGTGAAACCATTTAAACCTTATTTCATTCGCTATTTGAAAATGTTTAGGCAGATTTTTAGGAGGATGCCCCGCTCTTCACAAAACCTGCTAAGAATGCTTCAAAGCTCCGTCTTCTTTCTGGTAGAATGCGATAGTTTATCCCATTTCCTTTCAGAGCGTTTGATGGCCTATCTATTCAAAGGCATTCCTGAAGCCCGTCATTAACCCTGATACTTCTTTCCTGTTAAATTAAGAGCAAATTGAGAAAAGCCCAGCCTCTTAGTTTTGGAAAATAGGTACAGCCATCCTGCACTTCAATTTGCTGTCTCGTTTAAAAAGAGTGTAAAACCCATTTGAACTCATTTCCTTACCTTGGTTCAAAAGGACTTTCGGCTGATTTTACTGAAGTGAGCTCTGGTAGTGATTTTATCTTTCCAGTATATCTACTCCGTCATCGAATTATTTCAGTCATATTCACGTTCAAAGGCTTTTTAACACAGGTTGTCAAAATAACTACAATTCTCCAAGTCTCCGGATATGTCATAAAACCAGCCGGGAAACTATCTGTTTTCATCTTCGTGTTGATTAGAAGATGAGGTCTTGAAAAATTGCGTAATTACCACGTGTTTCTTAATGTTGCCTTAAACACGGAAACTTTAAAGATTATTGCTTCTAAGATGGCAACAGAATGTAGCCCTTTCTATGGTTAGTGCCTCAACTTTTCAAGACCTCAACTTTTCACGACGCTTTATATGTTACATAATCGTGGAACTAGAAACTGATAATTCTGTCCAAAGGCTGTATGACATCGAAAAGTCTTTGCAGTTCTCTTTCAACAAAAATTGACTTACAAACCTTTCGTTTATATAATCAGCGCGTATGAATTTGAGACAACAGGCCCAAGTAAACGGGTGCGAAATATCTTCCACTCCACTTATCCATCTAAGGGTGAAACGGGAAAGTAGATGGTCATCTTTATTGAACAATATACACGTGAATGGATAGCTAGAATCAATCTAAGATCTACAAATAAAAGTACACAACCTTGCATGATAACTAAAAGATTTTCTAGTAACATGCAGATCAAAATAAGCCACTAGGAAAAGGAGAAGCCAATTAGTGCTCTGTAGCCTTAAACAGGGGGATATGATAAATGGGGTGGGATGGTGTAGAACAAACAGCTGGTTTCACAAGCAACTGTATCCAGTGTAGCTAAAAACTAGAGAACCTAAGTAAAAAACAGCTGCGATGTGTTTGTGTAAAAAAAGATGTGAAAGGATTTGCCCTAATATTTATGTGATGATGTCGCAGTGGTAAGGGTGGCAAAATACAGGCCCAAGAGTCTAGGGTTGGGATGCCTAACATGAAAAAACTTTCACTCAGAGTAGGGGAACATGTCCAGCTCTCTGTAATCCAGGGGTAGGAATCGTGTGAGATGGTCTCGTCGCAAGGAAGGACCAGACCATTGCTCGATAACCATAGCTTCTCATTGTCCTAAAACTACCTCAGGAAGCTAGGATACATAAAAATTTAACAATGTACCAAAGTTTATGACTTACATATGTCTGTATTTTTACCTGGAACTCAATATTAAGGCAGTTGGAGAGCTTGTACAAAAAATGAGGTTGGTGGTAAAATTTCCAAAACGGAAAGGGCCTAGTCAGGCATAGGAGGTTTTCGATACTCTATAGGGATAAAAGATTCTAAAATAACTTTGATCAGTAACAAATACACTTTGAAGGCTTAAAAGTACGTTTTTTGCCGACGCAGTAAGCGTTCTCTTTATTTTGACCCTTACAACATTGGAAATTAATCAATCTTTCACCTTTGACATGCAAGGATGTTCAAGAGGTTTGCGAAGGTGTATTAATTTTTCTCAAATCCCGTGTTGCAGGTGCTAATGCTTACATACAGTTGAAAATCAGAAATTTAGTCCAATAGAACAGGGGAGCAGTACGGCAGTGTGTACGGAGGACTTGGTATTGCGCGATCTCTCTGGAAATCAAGAACTTAAGGGCCCAAGATATTTCTCTTGTGGAAACCATACTTTGGGAGTTAAAGTAGAATAAAAAAGCCAGCTCGTTTCCAGGTAAATCACACTAAGCAACAATGCCTGCCAAGAGTCTTGGAATCCTGACGTCACTTTGCAAGTCAAATTCAGCCATCCCCCTTCCCCACGGAAAAAGGTTGGTTTACTATAAAACGGGTTAAGGAATTAGGAAGTATTTGCTTTTGCGTTTCTTTTATATCATTTGTCTAAACTATCAACATTAATCTTGAGGGAACAAGGTGGAAGTAGTAGTTTTTTTCCGGAAAGGAATGAAAGATATAAAACGCAACGCAAATTGGTGGGTGTTCAAAGTACTCTTGGCAAAGATTGTATCATACTTATGGGTAAAAATGAGTTTTGCTGTGGGGTCCTTGCTATATGCACCTTTATTTAACATTCAATAAGGATGTGTCCATGAATTAACAGTAATATTATTACCATAAAACAGACTTACATTCCAACAAGAGGCAGAGAATCAACCTTTGGATCGTTTTCAAGCAGGAGAAGAAGCTTTCGTGTCTGATCCATCGTCAGATAGCTGTCAAAATACCATTTCACAAATAAATTTCACTACCAACGAAGCTTCAAAACGATTTCAAACCACATAAGGCACATATTTCTAATAGTTTTCTTTTTAAACACGGTTCAAAAGCATTATATTTACATGTACCACAAAAAATATGACGTCAGAACAGCACCAACTAAAGAGTGCAAGCTGGGAAGAGCAGAGTTCAGTGGAACTACTTTAAATTGTTGGTAGAACACATTTTTTTGTTCTTAAAAATAGTATACTTAATAAGAATAGCGAGGCTCATGTTGAAATAAGGTCAGAAAATTAAAGAATAAGAAACAAGAAAGTCAAAAAAAAAGAAATAAGAGCTCCATGCCTCAGACTAAAAATCAGAAGGAAAAAAATTAGTTGCTTTGACGATTATATTGCGTTGCGATGTCATTGCAGTTTATTTATGAAAACATACCCAAACTTTGGGCTTCCTTGAACGTAACTTAGACGCATAGGCCCGGATAAATTCTTCGCCAAAGCTGTAGGTATGATAGGAATTGACTTGATGGGTTTCGCTTCAAAGTCTGTTGCAAACGTAACGATATCACCTGCAAAAAATGTCATTTTGTAATGATCAAATCTGACTTGCAGCTGAAAGTGACGTAGCTTAACCTCTTTACTTTAGCTAGAATTTTAGCCACAGTCACTTAATCCAGATCAATGTAAGACATTAGAAACCCATATAAGCATTGCTCTGTTTCGTCTTAAAAGAAAAAGGAATTGTAAGACAAAAAGACAAGGGGCATAATGTTCTAGGCATTTATGGTCACTTAAAGTATGTTTCAAAAAGTGACACATACACAGATCTATAGCTAAAGCCGCTTTTTTTGCAAGAGGGCGTCCTGTACTCTCATTGCCATCTCTAGGGAACAGCAGGGAGTTGTAGTCTTTTCAATTTGGAACACTTACGCTCCAAATGAGAATAGTGATAGAAATTCCAATCTCTCAATTTTAGTGCAAACAATGGCGGTACTTTGGATGGGGTGAAAAAGTCTAGTGGATCCTGAAGAAGATGAGATAAAAACGAGAGAGAAAGATGCTTTGCTTTAGAGAGCAAGTCAAAGCTTTGATAAATATAAAGAGGAAATTTTGGCTACACCTGACAATGAAAACTGGAATATCACAACTTTGGTCAGATTTCTGAATAAATAAGTCAATGGATGTTGTATGAAGCTTTAAATAACATACATGATAAATCTACGATCATTTCATCTATGTCTGTTTGATAATAGCAACATGCTCGAGAGATGAAGAAATCTGGTACATTTACAGGATGTTTTTTACTGCAACGGTTTTTCAGTACCTGAAAAGCAAAGAAGACGATTAGTAACACAAGAATCAATAAAAGATGCAGACCACACAAACTATCATGAAAATTTAGACTTAAGACATAAATAGAAGAAAGTTTGTGTATTTGATGAACAGGAATACAACAGTTGTCCTTATGAGAGCGATGTGGCTGGGTTCGTGCGCTTGAGAAAGGAATATTTGACACTTTGCTTTCTCAGTACACTTTTCTCAAAGCACTAGATACTGAAAAATTTCAGTGACCATCTAAATTCCCATTGGTTGAAAAAACAACAGGCTTTTGTTCTAATCAGCGTTCGTAGAAGAAACAAAGCTGGATTGAACAACAACACGGGATTAATTTTTGAAGTGAACAGTTCACTGTTTGGACTTAGTGCCTGTAAGAATACTTGCAAAGAGTAACAAATCGTTTTCTTGAAAAATTCCTGATAGAAGACGATTGGAAGGTGATCCCAAGGCAGATATCAGTCTCACACGATAAAGTTACTATGCAATATCGCCAAAAAACGAATGATAAGAACAGTGATAAAACGAGCTACTTTAAGGCGTGTATCCATAATGATCACAGAGTCTAAGGAATATGGCTCTCGTGCATCAGAACGGTAGGATCTGGCTTTTCGTTGTTTTGAGAGACGAAGAAAGAATCTTTGTTACAACTCGACATTGAAACACCGCATTTAACCTTTTTTCTATGGTGATAAACAGCGCTGTTTTAAATACTTCACCGACTCAACTAGCCAGCAGTTAGAAGTAATTACAAGAATTACCTCCGACAAAAAGGATTCAACTTAAAAATTTTCTTTAGATTGCCGCATCCATCTGTTTGCTAGGTCTCTTTCCCGCGACGGATTAAATGCAGGGAACGAGAAAAAAGTTGAACAGATAACATTTTGTCAAATACCTCTCGTACAATCAAGACTTTTTATCATTAGACATATCATTTTTGATGAGAAAAAACCCACGAAAAAAACGAAATAGATCTACAAACAATCCTGACCCACTTTAAAATTTCCGAATTTCACAGCAAGGCAGTAAATTTTTTCCCTACTAGCACCTCCTCATCACCGGGGGGCCGGGTGGCAATGCCCCCCATTTTTTGGGAAGCAAGTGGTTTTAAAGCTGCAGTAAAAGGGGAAAAAGCCTTGACCACCTACTTAGCTAGCCTTGCCCCCCCCCCAACTTTTAAATTCCTGCATACTGACAGCTTTATTCGTCCAACAAAAATAATTTACAACTGCCATACATCTTAAAAAAATTCAAGCCTCGTTGTATGAACAGAACCCCTATCAAATATCAAACATGACCCGATACAAACGAATCTCGTATAGTGTGAACAGGGCTTTTGTCACCGAATACTGGAAAAAGATGGATACTTTAGGTTGAAAAGTATATATGTACGTTGCGCGTGGTACCTCATCTAAAAAACGATGTAGAAAAGAAAGCTCATCCAAAAAACACAAAACTAAGTTTAACTATCAAAACTGATTTATTTCATTCTGGTACTCAATTTATTCGCACACTATATTGTCGTTTTTTGGAAAAGTATATGCAGGAAGATGTGAAACATACCATCTCAAAGAATTTTTTCGACCAAGAGTATTTTTGTTGGTATTTAAAGATGGACCCTGAAAGACTTGAAGAACTCTTAGTTCCTTTGCACGAAGTTGAAGACTTTGCATAACCATGAAACACCTGAAACTACTGAAGTCGAACAGAACAGAACAGAACGAAACGGAACGGAACGGAACAGAACAGAACAGAACAGAACCGAACAGAACAGAACAGAACAGAACAGAACAGAACAGAACGGAATGAAACGGAAGGAAATGAAACGGAAGGAAACGAAACGGAACGAAACGGAACGGAACGATACAGAACAGAACGGAATGGAACAGAACAGAACAGAACAGAACAGAACAGAACAGAACAGAACAGAACAGAACAGAACGGAATGAAACGGAAGGAAATGAAAAGGAAGGAAACGAAACGGAACGAAACGGAACGGAACGATACAGAACAGAACGGAATGGAACAGAACAGAACAGAACAGAACAGAACGGAACGGAACAGAACAGAACGGAATGAAACGGAAGGAAACGAAACGGAAGGAAAGGAAACGGAACGGAACGGAACCGAACAGAACTGAATGGAACAGAACAGAACAGAACAGAACAGAACGGAACGGAACGAAACGGAATGGAACAGAATGGAACCGAACCCTTTCAATAGTTTCCTTTGAACATCTCCGAAAATTCCATTCTTCTTTCTTTCATTTCAGTACCATTCATTATTCGTATAAACGGAGCTTGAATATACAGAAGGTCTCTCAGTCAAAGCTGAACCTTCATTTTTATGCCCAAAGGGCTTTTGGTTACAGTCAAACAAACCTCAATGTGTTGCTGCATCATGTTGTTGTCTGCCACACAGCTAGCTGTATCATTTCTGCACAAACCAGGGATAAACTGTTGGTTAAATTGAGCCATAATTAATGAAAGAAATCCTGATATCATCACTGCATTTCTGATATCACGTCAACATAAACATACTTTCATACTAAAACGCAACCTTTACGTGTTTACCTCGTTTAAGTTTAAACAAAAGTGATAAATTTTAGGCTTAAAAATAAATATTTTGTTCGCTGACATTTCAATTAAAATGCAATATTTTGAAAACGTACCAATGTAGACGTGGTCAGAGAATGAACATTCATGTTGCCGAGTTTTATTACGGTGGCCAACGTTATCAGCTATTCACTACTAACATTCCTCTGTGTTATGACTCCCAAAAGTGTTATAACTCCGAAAAGCATTTAAAAATAAAGATTTCCAACGGACTTGACAATTAATATTCCACAAACTGCAAACTTTCCCTCAAAAACTATAACCACATTTTCAATGTGGATATTGCGAGAGAAAAACAAATTGATTTGGCCGAATGATGAAGCCAAGCCACTTTAATTGAAGAAACGAATAAAATATGGAAAACTAGAAATGTACCTTGACACTGATAATGTGATCACCTGGGATAACAGCAGTAGGAACTCTTCTGGTAACAAAGCCTTGTGCTAAAAAAGCAAGCAGTATTTTATGGAAGAACAACCAAGTCTGCTTAAAATCAATCCTAGAAAAGCAAAATGCAAAATGGTTTGTTGACCCATCTGCATTCAGCAAACCAATCGAAAATTATATGAAATAGTCCGACTCTCTCCCAAGTCTTATAATTGGCTTATCTGCTATCTTTTCATAATGAAGACAGACACTGTAAATAAATGTCTTGAAGATTGACAAGCAATTACAAAGACATAAGTATTCATAGCATTTACCTGCTTGAATCTCGATATTTCTTCCTGGATCAAACCTGTCTATTTGTAAAAACACACCATCTAAAAAGAAAACATAAAAAGGTAAATTTGAATCCAGTGCTTTTAAGATGATAAATCTACCTTTTCCCATTTTTACTTAGTAGAAAACAGCTTCAAAAAGAAAGAAAAGCTGGCAAATTCTCTTGCAAATCTGTATGTGGTGCTTAAATGTCCTCAAGTAGCACTTAGAGGACCACAAATAGAGGTGGGTGGATGTGTTATCCAGACCTGTAAATATTTAACCACCAAATGTTTACTGCTTTAGGAGACAGTGAGTTATCTGTTGATCATGATATGCTATCATATCCTTTTTCATTGATCTTTTTCTCTCTTGTTCCTGATGAGGTAATACAAGTTGGGTAAAAGTGTAAATTCATACAACAAATTTGAACATTTGTGGAAGAAATAAGTCAGGGGCACTGCAAGAATATCTAAATCAAAATGTTTCACTCCAAAAGGAATCACAAGCATGTCTTAGTAACTGGTACTCTACCACTGATTGCATTACACAAAGCTTTGTATCAAACACTATTCACACTATTCACAATCCAATCAGACAGCACAAAGACTCTTACCTGATCCAGTTACAAAGCTTCCTATGAAAAAACTTGAAGCAGCATTTCCATGTTTTGCAGCAAGATGCAATGTCTTTTCACTCAAGTATAATCTAATTTTCCTTAAAAATCATAGGCAAGATTAAAGAACACTTAGAAAGTACTTGCATTTATTACAGATTTGAGGTGGGAGGCTTTAAGGCAGTGGAAAAAGCATTTGAAAAAACATAAGTTAGCTTCCTAAAGTAAACAACAGTTGGACATAAAAAAATTTACTAGCATAAAGCTAGCAATTAGCAAGCACAGCTTCTTACAACTCAAATGGCCCTAGAAACAGAGCTCAACAATTTAAAGAAAAGCATACTACAAAAAACCTTGAAAAATGAAGTAGAGGAGCCCCCTCCCACTTATGACCTACCCGAGTTTTGTAAAAATGGTTGAAAAGGAATAGGATTAGTTTAAATTTTTTCGTGTGAAATATTTCCAGGTGGAAGTTTAACAGGCAAAGCAATGGAATAATGCCAAAACAGAATTTCTAATATAAATTCCAAATAGCTATGCTAGGTACCCACATACAGAACTGGTTTGCTATGCATACTTAGCATAACTAAAGACTCAGTATATGAAAAACACCTCTAAAGGAAAAACTTTATTTTGGTCTTTAAATATTGAATAACATAGCAAGAAGCAAGTTTGTCAGAAAAAGATATGTACCTCTGGGCAGAAAAAGAAATTATTTGAGATTTTTCACTTGAGCTTCTATCCCTACAATCATAAATGATAAATTGATTTATTATTAAATGTACCACATAGATCAAAGTTATCAATAGACTACAATAAGAAAAAATGCAGGAGCGTGGTAAATTTCATGCGTCATGCAGTTTCTGCAAGCTATGGCATGCAGTGAAACATTTTGTGAAACTCATATGATAGCAATCAAAGTTTTCTAAACAATCTTAAACAATGGGGTCAAGATGTGCAGAAGTACTAGTTGTGGCTCATGGTCAAAAGTCAAGGTGAGGATATGTGGAATGGTTTGGATTTGAAGGGTGACAAAGCTCAGTTGGTAAAGTAACAATTTTATAGTATTGCTAGTTTCAGTACTGCCCTGGTCAGGTTTAAAATTAAAGGTTTCAATACTGCCATGGTTGTTTCCCTTGTTCACAATATCTTTCTTGCATTTCCAAAAGCCCTGTCCTATTGTCACTGGTTGAAGGCTATTATGACCTTGAATCAAGGTTCAAATGTACCCTAAGGGTCAGCGTATCATTGCAACTAGTGTTACTGGCTGCCATGTAACAAAATAAAGTGTATCACCTCAGACAAGAGTTGTCAAGAGATACCATCTTACTAATAACTGCATCATTATCATGGTAAGTCAGTAAGGGGACGATTTTGAACAAATTAAAACATTGGTATCAACTAGTGTTCCTAAATCTATTGAATTGTTTTCTTAAGGCACACAAAACTGACTGTTAAGTAACTTGATAAGTGAGTTCAGAGATGAAATAGAGACTAACCTCATACAATCATATAAATTAACATACAAAAACTGAATAAAACAAGAAAAAACAGCGAAATTAATACCAAAGAATAGCTCTTGTTATTGGAAACTTTGCTCCATCTGATTTTTCAGCCCTGTAGAGACAAATATTTCTTTAAACAGAGGAAGATGCTTTCTGTAATGTCACAAGAGTCAAGAGTTGTGATTATTTATTTACACATATTGTATTCTGGTTCGGTTCTGGTTCAAAAAAGCTTGAAAATGGAAGCTACTTCACAGATTATTCTGGAATTTGACTTTCACCAAAGAAGTCAAATTTATCCATAAACAGAGCAGGAAGGCAGGTGTGTTACTTGCAGATCAACAAGCCCTTGAATAAAAAAGGAATGGAAATAGCAAGTTCAGTTCTTACATCAACCTAAACAAAAATTACTGCAATAAAATAATAACTTTGTACTAGGGCCCTGTGAATCAACAAATTTTCATTTCGAATCGAATTGAATCGAATCGGCCTGAAGATTCAATTTTGAATCGAATCTCAAATCGAATCGGCTGTAAATCTTTAAGTAAAATTGAACCCTGGCCGATTCGATTCAAAAACCTTTGAATCAGAAAAAAATTTTGAATCGAATTGGCAGCCCATTCGAAAACGAATCGAATCAATTCGCAGGGCCCTGCTTTGTATACAAAAGAAAGATAAGTATGACGTTTCGAGCATAACTTATTACCTGGAACGAGGTACTCATGTACAAAGTCATCATTATAATTGTATTAACTTTTGCTCATTACTCAACGTACAAAATGCTGAACTACATTGATTATCAATCTTAACAGTTATAGAGTTCATAGTCTTCACATCTTCAAATCAAATTAGACTAGGAATAGCTAAACTACAGGCCTGGCTGTTTGTATTTTCATAGGTGAGCTGTGAATCGCTCCCCTCATTTGCTGAGGCGAGTTAAATCAGTAACACATAGAACATACTTTAAAGACAATCGACAGATGACTTAATAAGCCCCTTTAGTATCTGTCAGTTGCCTCAATGTAATAGCCTCAGTCAGGAGTGTGCTGTTTTACTTCTTTCAATTTGAATTTGCTTTAACTGGACTTAGGCACCCCCTTTACTTGAAGTATTCATAAGAACAGACTCTTTCAGTTTTATGTAAAGCTGGCACAACGCAAAAGCTGTCGCCGTTATAGTTTTTCACCCAATCTAGGTTTTTCACCCAATCTAGGTTTTTCAGTAAATGCTGCTGGATAGTGGAATTCCATGTTTTGGTTGTTGTTTTTGATCTGCAAGACAGAGTACCTTGTTCTCTTTGAGGGATAGTTTTGTTTCTATTGCTGGAAGGGACCTGCTGTCTTATTATATCCCCAATCTACAATTCCTACCAATTTCTTCGACTTTCCTTCCAAAAATATTCCTGTTTTTTTAAGATTGAAAGGTTCTAATCACTACAAACGTACTTTCCCGTTAACTATCCTTTTCAGAATAGATTGAAGTTTATGCCTATCATAAAAAACCGCCCAACAAGCATAAAGTTTATTGCAAAAAATGCAATGACGGGAGAAATTGCTGTTACAAAAATAAACCAATTAACCCTTGTACGTTTTCAGGGTTCACTGAATAGGAAAAGGGCAAATGAATGGAAATTTTAGGGGAGCGATTCTCCCTTCATGTTCTGTTTAGGAGAGCAATTCATAGCTCACCTCAGGTTGCGAGGGGAGCGTGGAGGCGAGCGCGAGCTATCGCTGGCCTCAAACGGCCAGGCCTGAAACTACACTTATGTAAAAACACAAAAAAGCAATCTCTTACCCAGACTTGCTGTCAGTTTTTAGACTGCTTTTTCTGTAGCTTTCCATTTTCCCTGCTTGTACCTGCACCATCAGTGGAGTAGCTCTACTTTGTCTTTTATGCATAATTGCTAAGAAATGTTCAAATACCACATGCCAGCGTATTTGTACCTTAAAAGGTGTTGTTTCAAAAATGTTAACCGTACAAGAGTGATCAGCTTTCAAGATCAAAAAACAAAATAAAGAAAGTCCTTAAGGTCACAATGAACTTTATGCATAATGCTCTTTACTGAGTTAGCTCGGTTTTTATTTTTAAATAATCCTTTTTCTGTTCAATACATTCCAGTCATTTATTACATAGCATATGCAATGCTCCCTAGACCAACTAATTCAGATAGAACAAGCTGGAACCAAAGTGGGTGGCTGATAGATCATCTCAAAAACTATTGATGGTGAAGGCAATTTCTTTGGCAGGACTGGTCAGAGACTAAAAAATATCTTTGTAGGTTAGGCCTTCCTGTGGTACATCTGAACCATTTGCAACAAGTTAAGACAACCCTTGCCAAAATCTGATTAGAGATAAAAACCTATAACCAAAATAACAATGAATTTTTAAAAAAGCTAAGCACAGGAAGTTTTTGCTTTGCATCTTAAAGGCAATACATCTGAAACTGTAGAATTTTTAACAGTTTGATTGCTCCTCTCTTTTTTGTCATCTGTTGTTATTTATTATTTAAGCTGATTGTAGAAATTTAGAAGATATTTTTTGCATGGAGTCAAATTTTAAGAATTGAAAACTAAACTGAATGACGATATTTAACTGTGCCAGACTAAAAACTTTGTTGCAAGCCTGCAAAATATTGCCTGCACACAAATCTGCAGGATTTCGATCGATTGATTGATTGACAACATATCTATAAAGAGGATGCCCCAATCACCAAGAGGTGCTTTTCATGGGGGTCCTCGATATTTTGAGCATTTGCCTCGAAAAATCCCTAGATAATAACATTTAACATTATTAACTCTTAAAATAAGTAAGAATGTATGATTTCTGGAATAAACAAAGATTACAAAAAAGTAATAAATCTTGAATTTTTAAAAAAAATCAAAAATAATCGTAATGACGGACAGGAGTGAAGTTGTTGGCCAGGCCAATAATTGTGTCTTGTTAGCAGTAAAAATACGGTACGTTTTTAAAATCGAAAAATGATTCCTCGATCATACCCAAGATGGTAATCAACGGAAGAAATAGTTTGGATTCTTGCATCTGTTTTCGTCCACTTTTCTCCTTTCCAAGAGAACCGCCAAAATCTAGTATTGCTGTTGCTGTTGTTTTGATGCGCCTCCACATAATCAATGATACACCGCAACGCGACGAGAATGGGCAACATCACACCACAGAATAGAAATAAGGATGACCTTATTTCTATTCTGTGATCACACGTAAATCAGTTATGAAGGCTGATTTGTACCAGCAATCCTTCATAAAATATATTGAGACTAGTGATAAAATGAGGACAAATATATTGACAGTAATCTACTAGAATTGTATTTGACCCCCTCCCCCTTCAAGCAATGTTGTTGAGATCTTGTTACTGTATACGGTCTTTGCACACTATCTTTTTTTTCGTCAAATTTCAACAAACAAAATTGCTTGGAGGGGGCGGGGGAGGGAAGGGGACGGTGGAAGGGTTGAGCAACGAATACGTGTGTCTGGAGCCTAAGTCAAAATTACGAATGGTTTACAAAATAATTTCGATAGGTTTTCTTTTGTGTAAATACGCCAAACAGACTTTGGCATTATGGCAATGTGGGAAGGAAAAGCAGTCTCAATTTTTGTGGACGATTGAGGCCCTAAACCAGCAGTGATATATATATAAGGGGGGGAGGGGGTGGGCATCGTAATATTTCCGACGACATATCAAATTCAATGGCAAATTTGATACTACGCATGCGTATCTATTTGTCAGTTCCTATTCGCTAGTGTAAGAGGCATTACATCGTAAAGAGCGAGAGGCAAAGACAAGGCACTCAATACATTTTGTGTGCTCTTTAATTGCACTAAAAACTAACTCTCTAATTAATTACAAACACTTATATATATACGTTAACACTTGATGGGACATTGATTTATAGCTAACACGTGATATGACATGTGATTGTATACATAGGTGTGGGTCTAGTGGCCTACTGTGAAACCCATTAGATGCAGATAGATTTCAGCAAGTTGTAGTTGCCTTCTTGCTGAAGTGAAAACATTTTTCACTAAAATTCAAGAAGTTGCAACTTAAAAAGTTAAACAATGTTATCAACACAACATGATAGCAAGGAAGAAACAGGCTCCATGACACAATAATGCCAAAAAGTCAGGTCTTTCCAGACAATAATCTTCTTCTCTTTTTCATCGCTGCAAGCATGTCTTTAACCTCGCCATGCAGTGGCGGAAATTATGGGGGTTTGGGGGGGGCGCTTGGGCCCTCCAATTTGGAAAGCTCGAGCTTTTGTCGGACAATTGAGCAATTGACAACTGTTTAACGTGTCGAAATTACTCCAAGAAATCGTTCTGAAAAGGTATTCTAAGCTAATCTAAGAGGGGTGTTATTGCTAAATTCTCTGCTCGCTTCGCTTGCAGGTGATCTGCGTTTTCCCTTTTTACCCAAAGGGCCTCTATAACCTTTCTGTTCCCATTTTTGCAAAATTTGAACAAAGCATAGCTGATAAAATATTGACTTGTCTTCAAAAATCAAAAATCATAAATGAATTCTTCTTCTTGCTACTTAATTATGGCGTGGTCAGCAAAATTTCTAAAAGGTCCCGTCAAAAAATCATCTATTTTTATCAAAATGGACAGTTTCTTTAGAATTAGACATGATCCAAGATGTTATCTTGTCGGAAAATCGTAGGCCTGGGCCTCCCCCAAATGAAAGCCTGAATTACCGCCACTGTCGTCATGATCGATTTCAGTGTTTCTGCTTGATAAAGCATAAATGGTAAACCCTTTGGAAGAGGAACTTTAGCAGTTGTGAAAGCCAACAACGTGAAAATCAACAAGTACAAGCATGTCCGCGGAGAGGATTTATGGACCCCTGGTTAAAACGAAAGAAATATAGAAAGGCACTTCGAGGGTAGACTCATCTAGGGGGTCTGGGGAAAATTTTTGAGAGGATGGTTGCTAAAATTACTCTGGTAGCTTATTTAGTTGCCGAAATTTCTATGGTGGCTAAATTGTACTGGTAGCTGGTATGTTTATGCCATAATGCATACACATTTCTTGTCAACAAAATGTGCGATTCTTTATACTTGGAAAATCTTTAAAAGTGAAATACGCTCGATTTCTAGATTCGAGCAAAACCTTCTTATACTGTAAGTTTCTAATTGAGTTATTATTCAAGATTGCGTTGCGCTGTCTTTTCTCAACACTCCGCGGTGCCTGTAATAGTCTTGGGCCCCCAGGCCAGTGACCCCCCTAACCCCCCTTTCCTCAGCACTGAGCACAAGAACCCAATAAAGTTTATCTATTGCCATGTCATGTCTTTGAGGCCAATGGAAACACTTTGCTAGAGGCCAAGGCTGGAATTGCAAAGCCAAGTTGAAAGACTGATCAATGGATTTTTAAACAAATGAAAATACTCTGCATTGAACAGAACAATATAAAATCCAATAAGGTAAAATTGGTTGGCTTGCTATAGAAGTCTTGAGCAGAAAATAACAGGAAGTCCGAGGTCAGCACAACAGCAACAACAAATCAAAGTGACATTTCTTCCTCGAAAAACACAAGAAGATGGCGCTGTTACGAAAGAGAAACTCCCAAGGACTAGATTCCAGTTCAGCAACACGCCTAGGTCTAGAAACTGTGCTCCGTCTTCCATCTTTTATTGATTCAGCTGCCGATGATAAGTTCATTAACGATGAAGAACCCAATAAAGATGGACAGGGCAGGCCGTTTGTGAAATTGAAGAGAGATCACTGGGTTGAGCCTCGCCTTCGTAACACTTGCAAAAAATGTCTCAAGAATTTTGGTTTGACCTCCAGAAAGTTTAACTGCCGAAGGTTTGCATCTTTAGTTTGCCTTAGCTAGATTTTTGGCTTTTATTTATGATAACATTAATTCTGACGATAGGATACTATTTTGGATTTTATGGATGCACCAAAAACAAAAACAACGTCCAGTCTACAAAACACTATGCCAGACAGTAACATCTGCTCTGCATGAGAATACATTCCCCACACAAAAGACGTCAAAATTCTACATTAAGCATAACGGCTTTATCTAAGGTACTGTTAACCCAGGAGCTCCCCTGTGCTGATGTCAGCTGCATTCATGAAGCAACCTATCAATGCCTTATGCAAAGACAATTACTTTTTTATTGCTTTTATCATTACATCCCTTCTGAGACCGTATCCAAAACTTAATCATATCAATCCACTATTTGCTAGTGCTCTTATTTTGAATTTAGGTAAATTATCTGTGAGCTGTTGCTTTGCTGTGGTTTGTGTTGTTATTCAATTCCAGGTGCATATTTTGCCTTTCATTTTAAAGTTTCCATTGTTAGTTTCTTCTGAAGCTGATTGGGGAATGTTTTCTTTTAAATCTTTGTCAATTCTCTCTTGGAGTTTATACTAATAAGCCAATGCTGTAAATTACTTAGTTTTTTGGCTGATAGACAACTTCTTATATGCTGCTCTATAGGTGTGGAGAGATATTTTGTGAGAAGTGTTGCCAATATAGGCGAAGATTGTCTCCAGATGCCAAACCCTCAATCAGTGGCCATTATTACAGAGTAAGGTTTTTTGTGATCAACTTGTATATGTATGTATGTATGTATGTATGTATGTATGTATGTATGTATAATATGAACTAAAAACAAGTATAAAAACCCCTAAATTCAGTGGCAAAGATAGCATTAAAGGTCAAGCTGACCCTATTTCCATAATTGTTCCCTTTAGAGATGCAAGTTTGCCAGGGGAAAAACAAGGGAAAAAAGACGATACAGGAATTTTTTACTGTTGCTAGAGTAGACATATGTGTCATGTTCCTTTTTTAATAAATGTTGGAAGAATTTCTCCATTATCTTATGCCTTAATGTGTTAATACTGGATGTTGATTTTAGTTCTGATGAAAGACCATTCAATGTTTTAGGCCCTAGGTTTGTCCGGTATTGCTTTTCCGAAATGGTAGGTCTAGTAACATTTGCAAAGATTACCGTTATTGTATGCATACAGTGGCTTGACTGCCAGTGATTTGAAATAAAAAAGGGTTGCAGAGGTTGTAAGGGGAAATCATGGGGGTATCCACTTTTCCATCATTTTGAGCAAGCAAGCAAGCTAAATTCATTTCCAAATACAGGCATTTCTTCTGACCTGACACAGGTAGGCCTGCTGCTTGTGACCCTAGATAAATATTTGGAACCATTCCCCAAGAGCTTGTTAACCTACCTTGAAAGGTGTATTCCTCACAGCTCATCATTTGGTACATACTCTTTTGCAAATATGCCCTGATTTATGTCTTCCAGTTCTTTGTTTCTAAATCATACACCCATTAATGTTTAATTTTTATCTTCTTCTGCTAGTCTCTTTCCAATGTATTTTTCTTTTCCAATTATTCCCTCGCTTTCTTTCCCTCCTTTGTTGCCACTTCTATTGCTTCCTAGTTCTTTTGTCTTCTTTGCATTTTCTACAATTAAATTCTTTCTCAAAATGCCTGGCACTTTATCAGTGACTTGAGCTATTTTTCAAAGACACTATTTTTTACAGGTTTGCTTTAATTGCTCAGATCTGGGTAACCAGCAATTTGGTGAGACACGGAGCCTTACAGACTTCTTTGTAAAAGCAAGAGAAAGTAGGCGCATCAATGCAAGGCAAGAACTTTGTCGTCTTGTTGATGGCTTCAAAGCAAATGTCAAGGCATCAAGGCTTGATTCAGTCATGACTGAGACCTTTTCCAACATAAAGGTGCCAATGTGGCAGAAATCATACAAATGGTTGGTAAGTGAATTCAAAACTTCCTTGTAACTACCATTGAATAAACCTTGTTACCTATGTTCCCTAGCACACTACAAAGCTGGCTATCAAACTGGCCCTAAGCTGGCTTACAAGCTCACTCCTTAGCTGGCTCTCTAGCTGCTGGCTACCAAGCTGGCTTCTCTGGCTCTCTTACTGGATCTCTTACTGGATCCCTAGCTGGCTACCATGCTGGCTACCGTGCTGGCCCCCTAACTGGCTTCCTAGCTGGCTAAATGCTTGAAACGTCCTAACAATCAAAGTATTTTATTTTCATTCTGCTACTCAATTTATTTGCTAACTATATTATCATGATTCCTTAGCTGGCTTCCCTGCTGGCACTCTTACTGGCTCTCCCTAACTGGATTCAACGCTTGCTTCTATGCTAGCATCCCTACTGGCTCCTTTACTGGCCCCTTGGTTGGCTATCAAGCTGGCTCCCTAGCTAGATCCCTAACTGGCTCTCTAGCTGGCTCCCAAGCTGGCTTACAATCTGGCTTCCAAGCTGGCAACCATGCTAGAAAAAGCTTTTAGCTTGATCCTCTTGTTTCTCCTTTCTTCTTTGTCCTTCCCCCTGTTTCCCTTACTTTCTTTTTTCGCTATTTTCTTTCCTAAATATTCTATTCATTATTTTCTACAAGAGGCAAGTCAACTTCTATGCAAACAATGCCTAGCTGAAAAATTTGCATTCAACCCTACAAGTTGTTAAGTGAATGTTAAAGCTTGTTGCAAACCATGTTGCTAAGGGGCTAAGGACACTCTCCGTCCTGCTGATTCTTAGAAAACATCTGAAATCAGTTCTCCTGAACATTAATTTCTCTTATCTCAGCTTTATTGCCTCTTTGCAAGAACCTAGCTTATTTTAGGAACTAGAATTTCACTGTTCAATATGTATTTTTATCCAAATGAAAACCAGAACTGTATAACCTATTTATCTATTATAACCTATTTATCTATCTGTATAATATTTATCGAAATATTAGTATTCCTTAAATTTAATTTATTTTGAAAATTGTATCTCGTTACATTGGATTCTCGTCGTCGTATTGCTTTGTTCCTGAATATCTTTCTTATTTATCTTTTGTTTGATGATTTTCCCCCAGCCTTTCCACCTAAAGCTGGCTGAATTCCGAATCTTGCTATTTTCTGTTCTTAGCCATTGTCAATTCTCTATAAGTTAAGTTTTTAAGAAGATATAGAAAGGGAACTGTTTGTTGCATTAGTTTTAAAAAGTATAATTCTATTGCAGTGTTCAATTTTATTTCTCTATTGGATGCCTCCTGAAGAACAAACACCTTGAAACAACAGGCCAATATTTTTTGTGTCGTGAAAGCCTTGTTTAAGAAAAATCCTTACAGCCGATCCCTCGTGGCAATGGATAGTTCCCCTTGTTGTTTGTCACATGGTACCCTGAGTGTGCGAGTTTCGTACCCATGGAGATTTCGCTGATGTTTATTAGGTTAAGCAAGTAGAGATTACTTTACGCATGACATATAACACAACTAATATTTTCTACAATACAGGAGAGCAAAGAAGTTGACTGGTGCACAAAATGTACTGCAAAGTTCACGATATTCATGCAGAAACATCACTGCCGGTAACTGAACAATTGTATTTTATTTCTAGCCAAGTATTAATGTTTAACTAGCATTGCTGTCTACGTATAATAGTAGCGTATAATTTTATGCTTTAGAATTTTTTTAAAAATGTTTTTCCAAGACTTGCATTGTGCTCAATTTAGGGATAGATGCTATATAAAGAGGGTTGCAATTGCCGTACTATCAGTTCAATGGTGTCAGACTACCTTTATCTCGAATCAAAAAAATTTCTATCGCTGTTGACCGCCCCCTTGTCTTGGAATGGGATTTAGTCAGAAGTGATGTAATGCATCGGAAGATTTCCTCCTTTTGTACAAATAGCTAAAGTTGGATCCATGTGCAGGTTTTGACAGTAACGTGAGAAGAAAAATGGCGCCTTTAATTGGTTCATTGTTTTTTCCAACTAGTTCTTTAATCACCTGCACCATCATGCTACTTTCGCTCCGCCTCAAGATTTTGATTTTCGCTTTATTTTTCGTTATCTGCTCATTCAATATATATCCAATGCCTGCTCTTCAGAGAAGCTTGTTGTTGAGGTCTGTGAATTTCTGGCAAATTTCTGCTAAGCACCTTTGGTATAATTAGGTTTGGCAAGCTGCTAAACTATCAACTTTATTTTACCAGGATTTGTGGATCCGTGTTTTGTTACAAATGCTGCAGTCAAGATCTGATGTTATACTACAGTATAGATTCTGCTGCAAAATGGGCTTTAATCCGAGTCGTTGGCTGTCCGGACTCGGAGCCAAACGTCTGCTTGTACCTGACAGTCTGTGCATTATGCCATGAAGATATTGAAGCGATCCAGGTCAGTGCCTTCTACAACGAGAATCCGAATAGCTACCCTGGCGAGGAAGGTTTTAGCAAGCTTCAACAAATCACAGATAAATTGCGTTTTTATCAAAGTAAAGTAAAAACTGATCTTCTTACGTATCAAGAAATGGTAGAGGATGTTGTTGCTGCTAGAGAGAAACTAAACGAAAGGTCTCAAACTGGTAAGACCATTGTTATGCTATTTGCAAAGCTACAGACCGACTTGTCTGACCATTTCTCGCAATATGCATCGACGGTGTTTGAACTAGGAAAGCTAAAATCCTTAAAGGAGAAAAATTGCAAGCTCCTTATGAATATTTCGTCGACCTTTACTAACTCATACAACACGAATATGGCTAACTTTAAGGTTCTTAAAGAAGCTCTAGGTAAGACAATCCCAGCAAGTGCATTGACAATGCTACAAGATTACTGTAACAAGCAAGCGATTAATTGTCTTCGAATAACAACAAGAAGGCTTGGCCTAGAAGTATTTAGCCTATCTTCAAAATATTCTCTTGATTGGTCACTACCGCTGAAGATCGGGGAACTTGATGAAATTTGCCTGAACGAGCTTCAAGCGTTTATCGAAGCTGTTGGGGAGGACTGGGCCGAACATCGTGGTGTTTTGGATAATCTCGTGAAGGATATGTTTAAATCGAATAAAATGATTGTACCTTCGCAGCGGTTGATTACTGAAAAAGGAATTTCCTATCTGAAATCTTTTTTAAGAGATCGGAGTGTAGAGGTATTGCAGCAGGCCGAAAGGCAACTTTTATCAAAGTCGTCAGAAACGAAGTTCACAAAGTCAAAGGAAGGTCTTGCAAACCTTACTGCGTGGTTGCAAACACAAGTTAGCTTATGAAAATGCTGCTTCTGTAGAGAATGTTAGGGAAGAATGTTAATTCCTTTCTTGTAAGTCATGTATCGACTATTTTCAGTTGTTATTTAAAGGTACTAATTCCCATCTATCAACGGCTCAGAGTTAATAACTGGCTTTGCAGCGCGTTTATGATCGAAAAAACATCGAGAATTTGCCTTCGTCGCTGTAGGGATATGTAACAATAGATCTATCGCGTAGTCCAACCAATGGGGAATTTTAATGGCCAGCGAAATGCGTCAGGACATAATGCCTTTAATCCTATAGACAACTGAATGACAACAAATTCATATTCAGCAGTAACAGGCCAATGGCACCAGCTCGTTGTTTCTAATTTTAAGACAATAATTTATAGTATAATAAACACAAATTCATTCCCTAGTGACCCTTTTTCCCAAATAAAATTATTTTAGGAGTCATTTGCTCTTAATAATTCCCAAATTCATCATGTTTTGATATGCTCGGTGTAAGTAGAAGTCATCTACGCTTTGAAGGACCAGCTGAGTATAATTAACTTCTGGTTGGTAGGCTCCAGTCCGTGTTTCCATTCTGACCGGTAAGGGTGAACGCCAACTGATGTAAACACGAGTTTATTTAGTATTAATGCACTGGGCAATTTAGTCAATGTGGATGACCCCGAAAAAAAATTGAATCGAAGTAAAATACTAACAATTCGGTCGCATTTACAGCATGGCCTTCTTGTTTTTTTTGTTATTGTCATACGTCACCATAAATCTTTAAATTTAAATCATAAGGCTAGGTTTTGTAATGTAAAGATGACAATATTTGGCTTGTCGTCGAGGTTTCCTTGGCATTAAATAAGAATAGGCCCGAGTAAAGATGCTTTCAGGATTTTCTCATTGCTCGTTACGTAACGGCCGGGTGCCAGTGTTTTGGCATTGTTTATGACATTTGAATAGTACAAGAGTACTATTGTCTCTCAGGGTGCATTTTCTATAGGACCCATTTGGATTCCACTTATTATTTCGAAATCCCTGTTGGAAAAAATTCAAAACAAAGGTGTGTTAACGTAACGACAGCAGCCTCTGCATGGCTTAAGACCTGCCTCTTGATTTTCTTATTGTTTGAAAAGAATACCTTGTTGGTTTATGCCCGCCTCAAGACAAAAATGTTGAAAAGCTTTTTTAAACTTTTGTCATTGTGGCTTTGTGCCCAGTGGGCTTTCTCAGGCATCTTGCGTAAAGGAGGCTGAGCCGAGCCGAGCCGAGCCGAATCTTTCGAGGATTGAACTTTGAAAGTTCTCATGTCCATCAATGGATCGGGAAAGCGATATAAGAATAGTTAGAATGCTCATTAGTATATACACACTTTTCTCATTTCATGCCAGACCGTTTATTCTATTTAATTAAAATAAGAAGCATGGAAACTTTGATTCACTATTATCGCAATGTGAAATGATTTCTAACGCCACATAGATATAATCTTTTAAAAATTGTGGGTTCATTTCGTTTAAGAGGTTGGTAGTTTTTGATTCAAAATTATTTAACAGGACAAACTATTGTACGCTACGTCACTGTCAGAGTACCCCTTGGGTTTATATGTACGTCTCTTGGTAATGTTTTTTGTATACTAATGTTTTTTTCTACTATTTTTTACGGTAGTGTTAAATAAACAAAAGCCTATTTTTTATTTTCACTTGATCTTTTTTATATTTTTTATCTTTTAGTATGTAGACACTGATGATGATTAAGCATGAGATTTGCTTAATTGAAATTTTCCCACTTGTTTAATTTAATAATCGAACAGTCATAGTGTACTTGGTGGCTTTTCGCTCAAGATTTAAACTAACGCAATCAGTGACGTGAATAGGGGAAAGCCTTCTTCGTTCAAAAATGAAATGATATAAATCAGTGTGCTGGTTTTTCGAATTCATTTTCAAATCTAGCATCTTGTTATATACTATCGAAAACATTTAAACGCCGATTGATAGAGTCATATCCCTCCTAGTTCGAAACCTAGTGCTTTTTCAACTGAAATATATAAACAAGACATCGAATTTCGTAAGCCGTTTAGCACGTCCAATCTTCGATACAGCTATTGAGAATCCATAAAATTGTATAGCATGAATGTATAGCTTAACAATTCTCCCCCCCCCCCTCGCTATTCAAAGATGATGCATATATGCTTTAAGACAGACATATCAAAATTGAACTGGTGGGGGGAGGGAGGGGGGATGAATTATGTCAAGACCGTCTGTTTGGGATTGTGGTTTAGATTCTGTTTAAATGTCATTGGATTTAATTGTTATAGTGTTTATATCGCTGATATTTTCATTCAATCAAAGAATTTGTAACGCTTTCACAGCTTTATAGTTTTTTTACTTAGTTTTTGTTGAAAAATATATGACATATTGTTAATAGTACCCTATAGGTTGATTCAAATGCTTTTAATTTGAAAGGATTGATGTCAATTTGATATATAATATAAGAAAGTGTCTTGAATTCCTTTGATTTTCCTGTCTCTGTTTACTATTAGCACTGTGTCTATCATCTTTCTGGACTGCTTTTTACAGTGATATTGCAAGGAATTTAGCCGCAGCAATATTTTAGTTTAAAGAGTTACTGGATATGGAAAGGCTTGTAAAACTTAGAAGCCCAGAGTTCACGTACCGTTCTGCACTTTAAAAGACAGTTGAATCTTTCCAAAACTGACAACTAGTATGCACAGACATTTTACCCATCATCTACTGTAATTTGGTTCAAAATCTTATCTTCGTACCCCCAGAATAGAGATTATTTTAAGGATACTTCACGGATGCTTCACGTATACGAGTAATCTCTTTTCTGTCTCGTATCTTAGCTGGTTTGAGACGAATTCTTCCCGTTTTAGACGATAAGAGGCATCCCATGGTGTTTTTTAGATTATATGGTTCATGTTGAAAATCTAAAAAGTTCCGTTATATGACGTCATCATATCTTAAATGTGACCAAATGATTTTTTTTTAGAATTTTTTATCACAACAACACGTTTAAATACCTTTAACATAGAAAACCAGTTAAATTTGTTAAGAATTTGATAATGTGTGGGTGGCAACTAAAACCAGTTGTTTTGGCTTGATTCACGAAAAAAGATTTATGAACAGAGACCAAATTGGGGAAGACCCGGTGCTTGTGTGACCATATTTAGCCAGTTTCCAACACAATTAGCTGATTTGAAACAATTTTAGGTATTATACATGACGCTCTCAGTTTATGCAACCCAAATTCAAAAATTCTCTAAAAACATTTTTGTGATTTCATCACTCTGGCCTCTATTGGGTAAGGGCGTAAATTTCAGGAAAGTGGAAGCGAGCTGATCTGTACGAATGGGTTGTTACACGTTACGTTGGTATGGGTTGTTACACGACAATAAAGAAATCGATTCAAGAATGCTATTCAGACGCCATTGCAGCTACGGCAATGGAAGCGGCATGACGTCAGCTTTCGTCCTTTGTACCATGTTTGTTCAGCATAACTGGATTGCGGTCTGATTTGTAAGAGAAAGTCATCCCAGAGCAAAACAAACAGCGGGTCGCCTATAATGAGGGAAAATGTTACCAAGGAGCCTTTCGGCCGTTTGCAAGGTCTGCAAGTAAAGAAGTAACTTGGTTTTGGTTATAAATGTACGACATATCTCTGTTGTTTTATCTTGTTCGCTGTGTTCATTCTGAAAAGACAAATGTGGGTTTGAAAACACGGTTTGTTTACATCCAGCACAGGAGTTGATAGCCATGTCTTTACAGCCAGAGGAAGAGGTATTTTGTGGTGTTTGTGTTTTTATAATCACATTAGATCCGTGCAATCAATGCCTTTGATTAAAGAATAGAAAACAAGATGTTTCTGAGGTCAATGAATTTTAATCACCTTAGTATTTCTACACCACTCTTAAGCACATGTTCTAGTCTTGTGGGACGTGTGCAGTCATCATATGAATTGTTTCTTTTGTAATAGGTAGGTGTTTTCCAATATGTATTCACTTTCTTTAAAAAAGATTGATATCCATTTGACTAAGAAGTTCTACGTAAGCCATGAATCTATTTGGCTACAAAAAATATTTCATTCTACAATGAAATCTTGTTGTCTTTACATCTGATGTTGCTACTTGCAAAAGTCTGTTCAGTACTGGATGGCACTGAGCAAATGAAATTGTTTGTTTTCTTCTAATTAAAATTTCCCCTTTGAAAGTTCAGCGAAGTGACTTCTTTCATCATTTATTCTTTGTTCCTTTATTCAAAGATTTACGTTATTGCATTTTTTAATAACAGTTTTCTCTGCCAATTTAAGAAATATTTGGTAATCAGTCGCTATAAAATGTTGCAAGCGAGAAGAAAGTTGAAGCCAGTAAATTGTGCTCCTGGTAGTAAATTATTGGTGCCAGTTTCTTAATAGATTTAAATTTAACGCATGATTTTGTTGTGAAAATCTTATAAAAATCCACTTCAAAAGTTGGATGAATGAAATTGTGGCAGAGCGTTGTTTCATCTTCAGCAAACTTGACAGAAAAATTACGATTTTCAAACATTTCCCATTTCATAAACAATTTGTGTGGTATACATATAGTACATTTGATTGTCTTCTTCGTTTGCCCGTTGAACGGCATTTGCAAATCCAGCATCTTTTCGGCAGTGGCAGCTAATAAAATCGGAAACATTGTGGAACATTGTTTATCTGATCTGCGAACTGCATTATGTAGCTTGTCGTAGTGTCAAAGATGAAAGTATGAATAGAAAATCGGGAAACTGTAGGCTGTAAAGTTTTTAGTAACACGTTTTTGAAAAGAAATGAGGATCTGAAAATTTTGACACACACTCAGTGTTACCAGCAGTCTGTTTATTTTTCAAGTTTAATAACAATTTCACCAAATGAAGACAAATCGGTTTGGGTTTAACTTGACCACCGGAAGTCAATGAAAAAAGAAAAAATTACTTGTTCGTACAAGTGTAACAAAGAGTTGCCATGGAGTCTCAAATTCCCTGAGGAATTCTCCATCGAAGCTCAACATCCAGCTGAGGCTCAACGGCCTAAAGTGAGATTTATTTTGCGTCTCTGTGCTAAACAGCTGGCGACTGTAGATAACAATTCTAGAAGGAGAATAAATTTATCGAATTTTAATTTTACAGCGACAAATGCAAGCCTACATACAGTGGGTCAATTCTCAACTGAGAAAAAGGCCCGGAAGTCGAGCGGTGAAAGATTTGCAACATGACATGAAGGATGGTGTTGCCTTACTACAACTTATAGAAGTTGTTGGTGAGATGTTTTTTGCTTTTTGCAAATTCTAGAATTACCTCATCAAGTATTTAAACAGCAATACCACGAAATGTACATTATCACTAGGCTCAATTTTGTTGAATAAAGACAATTTGATACGATTCAGTTCATTGGGCTACGGTGAATCAAAACATTATTGTGGTTTGTTTATGGTCCCGTGTGGTGAATACAATCTGCAAAAGCGTAGCTGTGAATATACAATGATCTTATATTGAGATTCACTGATTGTTGAAACTAGAAAGTAACTTGATTTAACTAAAATACCAAGAGATAGTAAACAGAAGATATTGATACCTGCCATTTTTCTTCTTAATTAGAAGTAACGTCCAAACAAAGGCTATTGGATCTTATGTTATGTCCATTGGTGCTACCTTAGCGAATCTCTTAGTAAAATGGTGGAGATATATTGGTATAATGCTGGAGACTATTATGCTATGTTTCATGACAAAATTTTCAAACTTAGTAATTAAAAAACTTTGTGTGTCTTTTAGTCACATAATTAGAGAGATATGTCTATAAATTGAGAAATTTTACAAATAATCTCGGTTGAAATTCACTCACCTAAGTTGGTCTTTATTTTCACTGTTTCTGTGATTACTGCAAGTCTCCTTAGGTAGGTACCACAGTTTCCCGCCTACAAGATAAAATCATTTTTACCAGTACTGTGAGAAGGATAGCATTGTTGGAGGGACACCATTAATTGACAACAAAAAGGAATCAAATTAAATTTTGTGCACATGCTCATTTCAAGTTAGCAAGTTGTTTGATGTACAAAATGACCTGATTAATACTCAGTCTTGTCCCCATTATGAAAAAATCCTCTTTTAGATGTTAGTCAACAACTGGTAGATCTAGATAGGGTCACGTCACCCTGATTGAGTATACCCGGAAATTTAGCCTTTATACTACCTATGTCATTTTAAGCAAATCCTTCTCTTATCTAAATTGTGAAATCCTTTCTGGTATCTCTATAAAGTTTTATCATAATTTGTTCTGAGTACACCAACCAACATCCAACTTTTTTTATGAAATGAACCCTTGAATACAATAAAAATAATAAGCCAACCAAGCTTGCTCGGAATCATGGCCTTCCTCCTGCAATGTAAAATTCTCATTTGCAAATCAACTGGACGCTATCATTCATTGTGAGGCCAACTGACGTTGTGGTGTTGGTGCCAAACTGCGCTATATTTCCTTTATAACACATTAATTAATGAGAAGCAACTGATTGCTGCTGAAAACTTCAATTTCATGCTCTCTCCCAATATGATTTTTTTCTACATCTGATTCACTGACAGTGATTCCTTTAAAGGGTGAATACATTTCTGTAGAGGGTACTAAAGGTATGCTGAGATAAAATGGACAATTTTTCAGAGATGTGAATATAGGATGTTCTCTGTGACCTATGTAGTCCTCCACTCAAATAACCCTAGCTTTGATTTCTTGGTTATTTTCGTAGTAAATCAACTTATGCAATAGCAGGGTGACAAGTCTTGATAGACTCATAGTACAGTTGATTCTTGCTATTTTGCTTTACACTTGAGCCTAGAGAGAAAGTCAAAGTGTAACTGTAAATGGATTTAACTGGGCAGTGCAGTAGGAGGGAAAGAATTATTGGGGGCAACATTGTTTGAAAACTAAAGGAGCAGAAACGTTTATTCCTGTTGTGTCCAAAAGACTTAATAATTTTTGAGAGCACTGAGCCCCCCTCTCCCCTCAAGGGCAATGATAGTAGCTTTAAGTCCCTTACCGGGGTCATTTGTACATTTAGCGGATTGATGGAAGGGTTGGTATGTTTTAGGGGTGTTCTCCCATTAAGGCCTGACAGGGGTCCAGTGAGTCTGATGGTCTTAACAAAAGGCTACCCAATTTAGAGAATTAACTCTACCACTTGGGAGTATTTAGGTAGTTGCCACCTTTCAGGGGGTACTTTAAACTGACAACTGAGCTAAGGTTGCCACTTTTGCAGATCATTTTTATTACTGGGGTTTTTAAGTGATCTTTGATCTTATGGTAACACTTGAGGGTTATTGTCAAAAAGACTAACCATTTGAGGGTTATTTTTCACTTTTTAGCTTTGGCTGTCTTTGACCCTGACGGGACCCCCTTTCAGGAGTCTCCCAGGCTTTATGCATCTTTTTAATACGAATTTATTGATTTATTTAGGCTATTGATCTTGCTCTGATTCTGTAAAACTGGCAATAGAGTCCAAATGTTTTTTGGAGCCAAGAGTCAGTAAAAAATCAAAATGGAGTCAAAATCTTTCCAATGCTTTTGTGCTTCTTTAACCTTTGGTTAAAGTCTCTGTCTGAATTTTTTAATGCATGTGCAGTCCCCAGTTTGTCCATATTCAAAGCCAAAGATTAAAGAACTCAGTCTGGATGAGATAATGTGATGCTTTAAGAAATTGAAATATTTTCTTGATTTCCTTCATATCCCATTAAAGTACTCTATATATGTAGTGCAGGGGTCCACCTTTATGTGTACCCAAAGCATCTATAGCCATAGATATAAGAGATATTTTCTTTCATTTTACGAGACTTCATTACTGTATAAATTATTTGGAAGTTGCAAGTTTTTAGCTTCTCTCTCCAAATTATTTCATGGAAAAAGATCAGTTGAATTATCAGATGAGCACCTGCTCAACCTTTCAAGTCTTGCCACTGCACTTCTGTTTGTCACAGTTTCAGAGGGGAAGGTACAACATGCATGAAGAGCTGGGTTTTATCGTTATTGTTCCAAGACAGAAATGCATCACTTGAGCATCTTAAAAGCCAATTGTACCAGAAACATTAATTAATTATTGTTTTATTTCAGGAAATGAACAAATTCCTATCATTGAAAATCCTATCACAATTTCTGACATGGCTACAAATGTCACCTACGTGCTTAAATTCATGGCAGAGAGAAGAATCAAAATGCATCAGATCAATTCAAAAGGTATTCTAAATCTTATTTCACATTCAAGTTATTTTGTTTGCTTATATCTTTCTTCCTTAGTTCAAAAAAGCATCTTGCTGTGCTGGTTGTTTTCATTTTAGGGGAAAATTAAAATTTTTTCATGAAAACCACTTTTATGTTTCCTTTTAAGACAGCCTCTTTCAAAGCTATGCTCCAGTGAATTTCTAAAGCCATCATCATATCATCCTTAATGTTTAGAAAGAGAGCTACACTATTTTTGATATTAACAATTGATTTGTTAAAAATAGCAGATGAAGATTATTGAATTTTTGTTACTCTAGAAATCATCGAAGGGAATAAGCGTGCCATTATGAGGCTCATCCTCGCATTGGCTGCACATTTCAAGCCAGGTTCCGTGCGTCCAGCAAACAGTGAAGCCCCCTCAGGAAGACTTGAAAGAGCATCGTCCACCATGTCGTTAGCAGCTGAGGCAGCGGTGGCATTAGCAGATGCAAGCCAATTGGCATCAAGTGCAGGGCTTTCTTTGCATTACAAATACAAGTAGGGTTCTGTCTAAATTCATTAAAGAATATAAGATCAGTCTAAAGAACCATTCAAGGTTTGGGAAACTATTAGGGGGGCTGCATGAGAACTAATTGTACAGGCCAACAATGGATATCTATGAATCTCGATCATTAGTCCGATTGAGCAGTTGACATACAATACAGGTAGCATAATGACTAGAATAACAAAATTGTTGGTCGCCTAGGTAAAGGTTTGTCTCTTTTAAGAATGACTTTCAGCTTATCGCGTTCCATATCCAGATTTGTTATGCCGACCAGCTCCCACCCGTACGAAGGGCCTTTAAAACTTGTCCTCCTCTATTTTGCTTCTCTCCATTTAGAATAATTTAGATATTCTAAACTTTGTTCCCTTTCATACCACAATCTAAAAGGTAGATTCTGCATTAAAACGGGTTGTGCAACAGATTTTCGAAATAAACGCGCTAGGGATAGACTTTCTTTCTTCAGCTTTTAAATGTCCAATATAATTTCCTGCGTTTGTCTCTAGTGTTTTTTGTTCGCCGGTGTGAAGTATTTATCTCTGGTAGTTTTATACTTTGGTTGTATAGTATTTAGCAATGATTCAATCAGATGCAATTGATTATTCCTTACCCAAACCATAATTCGTTGAGCTCATACTAATGCTGAAATTAAGAGCGCTGGGCTGTGTTGTCCTGGTAATCGCTGATCCTGTTGAATCTTAGTGCTAGGAGCTGTCAGTTTAAGAGAATCGGAGAGAGCCCTAAGCCAATCAAAATTGACCAATCAATATGCGCGATACCATTTACACGTTTATTGATTGGCCTATTTTTTATGCATTCACAGACTGTTCAAGCCACTTGACTATCTATCGATTGCTTTTGAGTTGAGTTTCTTTAAGCTTAGTTAAATGTGGGCGAAGACAACTCTATACCCCAGTAATATCATTGTATTCGGTTGGTTGAAATGTTAATAGTTGATAGCTAAAGCCAGTTGTTTACTCCCGTATGGTGATTGACTATTTACTGAAAGAGAGAGTAATATAAATATTTTGGTCGTTTGCCCCCTGTTCAGAATTTTTTGAATACTAGTCAAGTTTTACGCGTTGAATCACGATTTTACCCTTTTTCAAGCTCCAACTTTCAACAATATTGATGTATTCTCCTGAAGGCAGCTTTTGTCTTTTTTAGTTGCATAGCACTTCATACCTTGGAAACCCATACCTTTTTAAGGAAGAACCGGACAGTTCCAATAGTATTCTGCAGATTTAGTCAATATATGGAGGAAGAAGAAATTACTTGCTAATTATACGTATTAGAAGCGGTTTATAATTTACATCTTTGAAGAATAATAATTATATTTATTTTTCTACAGAAAGAGACCAAACTTTGACTCCAACCTGTCAACAAGCGACCACTCGTTACATCAGCTCCCTGTAGAAGCCTCTCATTCGCGATCGTCGTCCTCCGCAAGCAGTACCTCGCACAAATCCGCTGGCAGTGCCAACCGCCTGAACAGTTCAGTACCTGGGTCGAGTTCTAAGAAAAGGTACAATGACCTCACTCCGGTAAGAAAATCACTCGGACAGTGCGTCTCTGACACGGACCATCTAAGCTCACTTGAAACCAGTATGCGCCAGCACCATCAAGCAATCACCAAATACCTCAGTGATGATCAAAGTTATCGCACTTTGCCCCGAAAAATGAAAGTTGGCTCTTCGAAATCGGAAGGAAACTCCCGGAGATCCTCAAGGCCAAGTTCTGCTAACAGTAGCACTTCTATAGATGACCATGTACTTGCGGAGGAGCACGATCACATGGTTGTTGACGTCCAAGCTTTGAAAGAATACTTGCTTGATCTTCAGTGTATTGTAAGTATTGCACAATCAGAATATGAAATGGCATTGATCTTTTCAAAGAAAGCTTTGAGTCAGTAACTTTGCAATCATCAAATGGTGTATATTGTGTTCCTTGGTTATCGATTTAGTTACATAGAATTATTTATTTTGTCATATGTTAATAAAGTATGGAGTTACTAAGGGTTGTAGTTGTAAGGGGTTCAGAGGGCTGAGCCACCAGTGCTAATGAAAGCCCCGTGTAAATTCTTAACAAGGGGGAAGCCCCTTAAAATGGACCTAGTTGATAGACAAGATTTTGTGTTCTTGTTGATTTTTTGTTCATTTTTAGTACAGCGTTACTTGCTTGTATGAGGTTAGAAGACTTCTAGCAGACGCAAGCTAGCGACAAATGAGTACTGAAAAGTCATCATCACAGCTCATTTTTTTTACATATATGTCAGGTTGTTACTCCCTTAACCCAACATCCCCCCCCCCCCTCACTAAATGAAAACAGCCTTTCCCTCCATCACTGCCTGTTTCTAGTCGTATTTATCAGATCGAGGCACATAAGAGGCAATATAATGTAAATAATCATGAATTCTTTTTCTAAGGTTTGCATCATGATAACTTCAAAGCTGATTAAAGCCAGTATTTTTACATGTCTTTAAATACTTGTTAGCATAGCGTCACTTCATGATTTATATTTTAGTGTTAATTTTTTAGTTAAAACAAAGCCTTTTCTGTCATTTTTTCCAGCTTTTGAACGGGGAAGACTCTCAAGATGGGAATAACAACAACAGCAACGAGACTGAGAACGAACATTTCTTTCAGGAATCCTCGTTGCACGACCAAGTTGTAAGTATAATGTGTCGGCATGTTTTAACTAGGCTAACACTGCCAGTGTCATGTCTTATTAGGTCATTTCAAATGGGTCCCTTGTCGTAGACGGCTCTCTTGTGTTTTTTAAACAATATGTAACCATTTAACTAATATGTATGTAATAAGGCACTAGAGTCAAGTTTATTAGTTTTGAGTCTTTCTTTTTCCTATTGGCTTTTGCAATCTATCGAGTACTTAAATCGGCCTATAGTTGCACATGAAGTGGCGCACTATTGCATGAGAATATAAACTTTCCCAAGATTTACTCCATGAGTTGCAAATAACAATCTTGAATTGAATTGTAAGACGCTCAGTCTGGGACTAGTATCTTCAAGTACTCCAAACTGGTAACTTCAGTTTTTGCCTTTTTTTTCATCCCCCTGACCGGCTTAATATTGGCTCTGAAATTCACATAGACCGATGTTAGTTAGGGCGTCCGTAAAGTGAGGCAATAGCGAGACAGAGGCTCATGGGCTAAGTCTAAACATTCTCTGCGAAACTTTCGCCCTTAAATCTCAGATTCGCGCTCTTTCACGCCTCTTTCGATTTTTAGCCTCTGACTGACTTTAGTATCCTTCCATACACCAACTACTTGTTCTTCTTCTCTTTACAAATATTATCTTTTTTTATCAGGTCATATTGAAGGCAAGGCTCGACCAGGCAAACCAAGACTACCAAAATTTGAAAGTAAGTGTTTCTTACAAATTTGCAAAAGGCGTATTTGGACTAAAAGCCCATTACATTGCTAGTATATTTTCCAATTCCGCTCTGCTGAAACTTATTCTCCCGTTTATTCTAATTAAACAACAGTACCGTGGAAAGTATAGAATTATTGGAGTGACACCATTGTTTGAGAACAATGTGAACAAAAGGGAATGTTCACTGGAAACAAAGGATTTTTATGATTTTTTGTGGGGCTTAATCCCGCTTAGAATAATTGTAGGTACGGCCCTGTATCAATATCGTTTTTTCTAATTCTAACGGTTTCGTCTGTTTTTCATTTGACAAAATCTGAATTGATCGATGTTTATCAATTTAATAGTTGGAGAAAGTTTGCTTTGGTTACAACACACTCATTTTTTTTATAAGAAACAAAGGTCGATGTTGAGTACTCCAGTTTCCTAATGTTCTGGAAATTTCAATACTTCTACAACTTAAGACACAAGGGATAAAAATGTACTTCCCACATCTAAATACAGCATCGGAACGGAAGCTCTTGACGTGATAAAAAAGGTCACGAACATTTCATAACATCATTCATGACATCATAGTTAAGAAACTCTTAAGAAACAATAAAACAGGGCAATCTTGTTCTTGGGTTTTACAAAATTTCGTTGTTCTCAGTTTTATCACGATTTAATTGTTTCTTAATTTTTCTGCTTCGAGTACTGAAGTTTCTTAATTTTTTCTGACTGTCCAGTACTCGTTTCTTATAGCCAGTTTCTTATAAAAAATGAGTGTAGACCTCTAAAACTGATGGTCATATTCATGAGAATTTCATAATCTCATACATTAGCATTATTTATAAAGATTTTCTTTGGGATTCGATCTAGAATTAAGATTGAGGCTCCATGGTTAAAATTCAATTTTCAAAGCTAAAAAATCTCTAGGAATGATTTTGGCCCATTTTATTTTGGTTTTTGCAAGCCATTCTAAAAGGAACATATTCTTTTTTCATCCATGTAGGCACTGCTTTTGTCAATCCCTGTTATCATTTTTGTCCATTTATAATCTGTTTCGATTTCTAAAGTGATCTGTTTATAAAGTGTTTCCTTGTTTAATCTTGTAGTTCGTGTTTACAATCCACGTATATCGTGTTTTTAGACACGCCTTGCGTAATTACCGGAAGCATGGCTGTATTTAATCATGTCTGCCAACCAGTCTTAAATCTAATTTATATTATTCCTTTAATAAAAATTTGAGTTATTTTCTTACCATTTTGCTGGCTGTAAACTGATTTCCTTTTGCAGAACTCGGCCGCTGCTCTTAAGGAGGATGCGATTAGATTGCAGGGCGAAAAGGTGAATTTGTTTATGAAAAAATCCGTTTTCAATCTTGGGAATCGTTTTTATCAATTCATGTACGTTAGACGTCGATTCCATTGTCTTGCAATTGCAATGAAATACTACGGAACTGTTCTTTGTTACTTTTTTATCGTTTTAGTCATTAAAGAGGTTTGTAGTCATTCAATGCCAAAGTACCTTTTGTTCTGTTAAGAGTGTTCTATAACTCTTTGAATCGAGCTGTTACAACCACGTACTAAATTTAAGCCCACATTAAATATAAATCGTGTCACTAGTACCATATTAGTTGAAAGGTACATTTTTAAACAGTCACCCAGCCTTTAAATTAGGATTTGCCAGGTTCTAGAAAGTACCCAAAGACCAAGAAGGTGTTTGTTTTCCTCCAGACAACACCCTTTAGCTTTGAAAGCCTTCCTTAGAACAATAGCTTCGGGTAGGGCTTTTATCTCATAAATGTTTGAAAACCTTCATCACGGGCGTTGACTGCATAATCGTCCAGTTTCCTTGACCCAGAGGCCAGGGAATTGTCCATCTTTCATTTGGACAATAGCCTTTATCTTTGAAAACCTTCTTCAGGATAAAAACGAAAGCTGGGGTTTTGGTGTGGTTTCGTCATGATTGCTTTGACAGTGCCATCAAGTCCTGGTACTATTTGTGATGAAACTCTGTATCGTGCTTCCCTATTACCTTTCTGGCTGTGAGGTTGTTAGTAAAGTTTCTTGTTCACACACCAAGGTTGGATTGCAAGGTAGACTTACCGAACTCGAAGAAGCAAATATAAATTTACGAGCGGATCAGTTGCGTCAGGAGCTTGCATGTGACTCAGCTAGAAGTGCAAAGGAAAGCGCACAAAGGATCATCGAAGAAAGAGAGCATAGGATTGCAGAGTTGCATGAGGAGCTGGCAAAGAAGGACCAGGTAATACGAGACCAAGAGAGAGAAATCCAACAGTTGATTGACACAGTCACCGGAAGGGAAAACACAGAGGTTGGTATTATTTATGACCGCTCTTGTTAAACTCGAAAGTAAGGATGCTTTAGTAAATGTGAAGTAAGAAAAGAAGAGTATCGAGATATTCTTTCCTTGCGCAAAAACATACTTGCAATTTTAGGCACATTTTATGGGTGCAGAGGGGGGGGGGTGATGTAAAAACGAAAGTTAGGGAGTAAGGGAGTAAATTTTCTAATTGACCAATCATAAATGTTTTAGTTAAGTGCTGATTCTAATTACAATATCTGAGGATCGACCACATAGCCTGAAAGAACACCAAAAAATACATTTAGAATACAAAATCAGAGCTCAATCTTTTGCAAATTGAGTGAAATGCAGCAAGCGAAAGTCACGAGTTTTGTTAACGGATAGAACAAATTACAATGATTCGATGGATGTGCTCATGTGGCCATATCTCAGCCAATTTTAACACATTTAATGATTTTGGAAATTTAGAGGTATTCTATAATGCTATTTTAGACTGTGTGATCCAAATGAAAAAATTCTAAAAATAGATTTTGGCGACGTCATAACTTCGAAAAACTATTGAAAAACCAAAGTTTCAGTTACAAAACCTAGACAACGTCTTGTTTTAATTGCATTATCTTACCATTATCTACGATTTTGTTCCTCCAATTTTCTGTTAATTGCGAAGCCTTCATAGGAAAATGCTTTACAGGTAATTTTTGCAAAAATGCAGTTTCTGCCATATTATGTCATATTATTTTTTTTTCTATTCTTATTTCACAGGCTGACAGAGACACGCAACTCAATTTACGAGAGAGCATCAAACATAATATTCGTGACCAAATAGAGCAGCTAACTGGGCGTCTTGAGGAACTCAGTGGCTCGGAGAATCAAATCCATTCGCAAATAGATCATTACAACAGAAGGTTGAAGAAAATAGAAGATTCTCTCCGGAAATCAAATAACCCAAAAGAGGTAACATTACAAGTTCTTGTACTAAATCTGCAATATAAGCAAATCCAAAACTTGAAATCGTACTTGTGTATCCTTAACGTGCCGCATAACTTGCAGTTGTTGTGAATGCTTAAGGAAAATTTGCTTTTAAGCGTTGTAAATATTGTCGTTGTTAAAAAATTGTCATGACAGGATCTCGTTTAAGGTTTATCTTTTTTAGAGAGATGTGCCTTTGTGTTCCACGGGCTGGGGAACAAAGAGATAAGGAAGTTGTTGTATGGATGAAACGTGTTAATCTTGATTTGCGGATTCGAACGCTAGAGTTCCTCTTAACTTTGGATTTATTTGAATTATCTATTAATGAAACTTGAATCTGGAAGCATTGTAGATGGTGGAATTTGCTGAATCCGAGTTTCCATCATCTTATTTGCTATGTCATTCATGACCTTCAAACCTTCAGGCCATACATCAGCATTTCGATGGTCTAACTGCTTTGGATCTGTTAATTATGCAGTAATGTGATATCATTATATTCTCGCCAACAGTCGTGTTTAGAAAGATCAGGTTTAAGCAACCGATCGCTTGGTATTAATGGCTTTGCAAAAGGAGTTGCAAAGCTATACCATTTGAACAAATCATTCCCTTATCCATTTCAAATATCGCTATCTTTATGTTTCGAATCGTGTACCATTTAAGCTGTTTAAACCTTTCAGGCTTATTGCTGTTCCAGCTTATTAGATGCTAGATTGAGTGCAAATCGTTCATTCCCAAATTTTAGGATAAGTCGTAAGTTTGCTTACTGGAGTAGCCTATATGCAGGCAACTCCTCTTCTTTGTAATTTATAGACGCAGGCTAGCTATGCGTAATTGTGTATATTGCTCTTTTGAGTTTCATTTCCTTGATTCAAGACCCTACCCAACCCATTTAAAATGACGTCATATCATCATCAGGTCATTTTGTATCGCAGGTAGCCAAAGAGTACGACAAGGCATCGAACACCCTGGAGAACCTTCGATCAAGCTTCGGAAAACACGACCCTAGGCAGCATGCCCTCGATAGCATCGGCCAGGTATGGCATTTAGCTTTGCAAAACGGCAATCGAAATGATAGAGCTTAAAGATCATGCTGTACTCGCCCCGAATCTCTCTTTACGGCTCTACCTAGTCAAATGCCTTCGTTTTATATCTCAAATAATTTTGAGATCTCTCGTTGCAAGAAAGTCTACATTCTTGCTATGGAACAGAATTCAGTTGTAGGATAGGCTTGCTATTCGATATGTCATTTGCACAGAAAGGATTTCACAAGAATTTTACGTCACCTTGAACAAAATGAAATACAATTACATTTTGATAATGAAATGCAACATTTTATATTGGTATTTTATCAATATAAGGGTAAACTGATATGAATTCACACAAACTGCTCTTTGATTTGATTTCTAATTGTTAATCAATCAATTGATCAGTTTTAATTCTCTTAAAACGATCTTCATTGATTCCTCTTATTGATTCTGGTTTTCTTCCATTTAGAGTTTAGGTTCTATTATGGAGAAACTTACAGTGTCAAGAACAACTTCCAGAAATGACGCTGCGGTTTGTAAACTTTTGTTTATTCTTATCTTAATTGTTTGCGGTGGCACGAACAGTTTTCGATATCTCATATTATTGTGTCTTGTGCGTTTTTCTTTCTTCCCATTTTGAAATATTTTTTTGTGTATTTTAAGATCATCTTATGCATAAGCTTGTAATGTGTGTTTAGAAGTAAACTTTCACAACACTCATTTTGTTTATTTATGCTCGTTCCTGCCGTTATTCATATATTTTCAAAGATCCCGAATTTCGGATTAGGGCATTGAATTCCGGTTGAAAGGGATCCAATTTTTTTAAATGATTGGTTTTTTATCAAAAATCTACGAGAAAATGGTAAGGGGATTAGTTTTGTAATTTTGATTTTTCTCCGGTTAAGGATTTATTACTTGCGGGCATCATTGTCTGATTAAAGAATGGAATGTCTTGGTATATGCGATAAACAGCATGATTTGGCGGACATAACAGATGGCATCGTAGATAAACCAATATTCATCACTTTTATATTTCATGCACTCAAGAAGCGAGTTCGGGGCAAGCCCCCTGATCCCTGGTCCTCCTTACACATTAGGGGCCTGTGCAGCTCCTGGGACGACTTCAAAACTGGACCATTGTTGTCACTGTCTGAATCTGTATCACTATTGCAATACCATAAAGCAATTTTTTGCGTTTTAGATGAAATTGAGCGAAAAGAGATCATCACGAGGTAAACTTACACCAAGAAACCGATTAAAAAACAGTGAAACGCACTCAAAAACCGATTTGAGTGGCAGCTATCTGAGTAAGTTTATCTTTTTTCCTTTGGTCTAATATTACATTGTATTCGACATTTTTCGATTTGGTACACTGCACTTTTAATTGATGTTCGATAGCGCACTACAGATTTGAATTCAGTCAAAAGCTGCTGCTTTTTAAAACATGAAACGTGTATGACGACTACGAGTGGGCTATGTACAATGCAATGTGATACAGTATAATGGAATACGATACAGAACAAGAACACACAATATAAAACGATTTATTACCATACAGTAGAATACAGCACATAGTATAGGATAGCATAGTATACTATAGGTAATGTACAATTTTTAAACCAAAAAACAAGCAGAAAAACTGATTATAAGACCTTACAATTTTACGAAATAATGCCCAATATAATTACTGGACACAGTTATGTATCTGCGCAGAGAACTTTCATCTGGATGAAAGCGAATGCACGTGCTTACTACACGTGCCACGTGTGTTGCGGCGACTTTTCAAGAATTTGATTATTCTTGGTAAGAATGCGAATATCAAAGATGTTTGGTAATTTTTTCCACTCTTGGATCTTGTCTCCTAGAATTCACGAATGCGGTTTACGAAGGCGTTTCTAAAAAGGCTAAGTAAAAATGCTATTTCAATAAAATGGGATTCTTTTTTAGATGGGTCTATGGATAGCGCAACTCCAGTTACACAGGAAGGAAAAAGGACAAAAGTTTTATATTTCATTAATCAGTCTGTGACGCCCTATCTTGCTTCTATCAACAAAAGGTATGCCTTGAAATCCTATTTACGCCTTGAAATTTTCAGCCTTTTGGAAACGATTTATAATTACCCTGACTGACAAGTTGCAGAAATTATCATTATATTGTTTCGTTGCCCTCATTCATAAGTTGTCGAAACGATGCGTGAAAGACGGAAATGATCAAAATGATCTTATTTTATAACTTATTTTGACTGCACATAATTTGGAAAATACGAAAATTTCTGCATGATCGATTGAATTCAAATATCAAGGTGCATAAAACAAAAATAATCAAATTGTCAAAAACTGAATTAATTATCAGATATTTCACGGAAACGCTACAGCGTTACCGCCATTTTGAGTTTTCTGAAAGAACAAGGTATCAAAACGATTGTTATTCTTTTCGGCATGCACTTTTCAAAGGCAAATCATCTGCATCGAACGAAATTTATAGGATTTTCGCAGTTCATCAATGGAAAAATCGATTTCTTTGTCTATGCGAAGTAGTAAAATGTGAAACAGTTGTACTGATGAAATTTCACCAGCATGGCGATACAGTTCTTCGTTGTGAAGTACGCTCACTGTTATGAGCTTATTTTGCTCTTTCATTAGTCTGGGAGAAATCACACTGAAAGACTTCAAAAATCTACTAGATCGAGGTGGAAGCCATCGCTATTATTTCAAGTCAATGGATCCTGATTTTGGCAGTGTGCGTGAAGAAGTAAGTTGCTTTTCCAGGTCATTATTCTATAAGACTTTCTTGCTCTCTTCCGGTGCTGATGCTTCCAATGATAATGCTCCCGGTGCTGATGCTCCCGGAATTAAGTTTCCGGGGTTAATGCTCCCGGTACTAATGGTTCGGGTGTTAATGCTTCCGGTACTAATGCTTCGGGTTTTAATGCTTCCGGTACTAATGGTTCGGGTGTTAATGCTTCCGGTACTAATGCTTCGGGTTTTAATGCTTCCGGTACTAATGGTTCGGGTGTTAATGCTTCCGGTACTAATGCTTCGGGTTTTAATGCTTCCGGTACTAATGGTTCGGGTGTTAATGCTTCCGGTACTAATGCTTCTGGTGCTAATGCATATGGTACTATTGCTTTCAGTGCTCATTTTTCTGCTTCTAATGCTTCCGGTGCTAATGCATCCGGTACTAATACCTCCAACAGTAATGCTTCTGTGCTGATGCTTTAAATGATAATGCTCCCGATGCACATCCGGTGCTAATGCATCCGGTACTAATGCTTCCGGTGCTTGTGCTTCCGGTGTTAAGTAAGTTAACTTATCTGGATTCAAATTTAAAGCTTCTTTGAAGATCATGTTGATAGCCTCTCCAGCCGGTCACTCATAGAGACTAGATCTATAATGGCCCTGGGGCTAAACTAACATAAAAGTTCAAAAATTCTCCTATTAATATTTTTCATATTCAAAAGCTATATAAATATTCCTTAGACGGGGTAGACTTTGCAACTAGTACTCGAGTTTCTTTTTGCTTGAAAGTAGCCCAAGAAAGTATAAATAATTTTGCCGGAGAATATCTTTCTGCCATGAAACATAACTCAAAAAACTGAAAGGAAGAGAAGAACAAGGCTTGGCTTTTTGTGTGGCTCTTAAAATTTCTGTTGTTTTTTTTTACATTCCCCAGTCTCAATTTTAGAGTCATTTTTTAATAGTGAGTATTTATCGTGAATACATTGCACGTAATATTTTCACATAAACCTTGTTATTGATTGATTTCTATTCTTGCTTTAGTTGTCCGCAGATGATGAGATCCTTCCTGGATGGGATGGAAAAATTGTCTCTTGGGTCGACGACGATAAAGAATTGGCTCTTGGGTCAGACACACGAACTGTGAACACAAGTACTCCAAAAAACACAAATAATTCTTATTTTGTGCAAAAAGATATGGTATAATGTTAGTATAATTATAAATCTCATCTATATTGCATAATCCGTACACATTCTGCTTGTAATAGCTGCTCAATTTGTGCATTTTTAAGTAGCAAGCCTTATCCAAGATGCTTTGATTGCTATCACTAGAAGAATTTCAAAGAAGTTTTCGGTGTCAATTCCTCAACCTGTACATATTTTATGCTATTTCAGTAAATAAATAGCTAGAATATGATTCTCTTGCATGTGAAGACAAAATAAAAAAAATAAAAAATTTTATTGAAAAGATCTTGTAGCATTTTTTAGCCAATAGTTTTAACTGACTGAACAGGTTGAGAAGCAACAAACATTGAATACTTCCTTTTAATGATCTCCACCTTTCTACCAAAATTTTCTCCGCGGTCGTTCAGGCTTAATTTCCGTGTGATACAAACTAAATACTTTTATAATTTCGTTGCATTGTAAATTATTTCTACAGCACATTCGCAACTAACGTCATGGTACAATTATTCAATGCTTTAAGGCTCCATGTCCCCCCTTGCAATTTGACTGTTTTACTCTATGCAAATTATGACTCTTAGCGAAGCAGTATCTTCGACCATATCATATCATGTTATTTTTGTCCACATTCCCTATCAGCTTGAAAAGAAATGAAATAACAATTTTTAGACTATAAGCGTTTAGGTGGACTTAGTATAGATCTCGCTTTAATATAATTGCTGAAATATTTATTGAGATAGAACTGCCCGAGTGGAGTCTAAAATGTGATGAACTTTCCTTTTTTAGGGTGGTTGCATCACTCTCAAACCCTATTTCTTCTTCGCCCAAAATTCACCAGAGGACGGGGTTTTCCCTAGCCCGTTTTCGCAGTTATTTGCCCGTTTAACTGATGTGCAGAATGTAATTAGAGAAGCCCCTTTTCAAAATCTGTAGAATATTCAAATTTTCAACATAGTCCTTTTTCAAAATCTGTAGAATATTCAAATTTTCGACACAAAATATGAACTCAATACTTTTAATTGACAGCGACAAATGGTATTTCATATCGTGAAAGCCGTTTGTTATTTGAGTAGATGAAGTGGAATTTTTACGCGCAGTATTTCCAGTATTTATATTTAAAAATTTTTGTAGTTTTATTTGATGAAAGCCTTAAAAATCAAGTATTTGGGGTCGAGGAATTGTGACATTTTAACCAAAGAATATTTAAGTCTGCTGCCTTTTTGAGTCAAACTCTGTACTGCTCTTAGTTTATGACTCAAGAAAATACCCTGCAATATGGTTTAAGATCAGCTAGATATGCAGGTGCCAAGTCCTGGAACAACATTCCCTGCGTCATCAAACAATCTACTACAGTAACAATTTTCGCCGTAAACTAAAATTGCATCTGTTCTCCACCAGATACCAACAATAGAATCTTTTTTAACTTCTTCTCAGGACCACAGAATAGAGAGTCTCTCTCTATTCTGTGTCAGGACTATAACGATGTCACTATAGGTTGCTCTGTGTGGGGGTGTGGGATGATGGGGATGGCTGTCGGGCAGTCTTTGCTATTTTCTTTTCAGAGAGAGCGGAGGTTGTGTGGCAGTTGTTCTCATTGGTCCTATGGCTCCCTCTTAGGCAGCCTGTGGTGTAAATACTAAATTAATAGATTGTTACTACAGGGGGTGCTCTCTCCTCGATTAGTCTATCTATTGAGAGAGCTCCTCTGTTAAGAAATTCCTGCATGCAAATCTCCTTTGTTCTTGTAAAATAATCTATATTTTTTTTTTCTTGTTCACTATTTCTCTCATTGTATGTAATTTATTTCATCTTTTGTAACCTTCTGCTGTATTTTAAAAGATTTGTATGTTTGGATTTTAAAAATGAAATGAACTGAACTGAACTGAACTGCTCTAATTGATCATAAGTTTCGTCATTTGCAGGCGTTCTTTCAATGCAAAAAGTTGTTTTCTGACATAGCTAGTAGTACAGAAATGTTACAATGCATTGCAGAAATACCGCAAAGAAATCTCACCACAAGTTTTCCCCCTTGATATGGCAACTATTGGACGAGTCTATCTGCAAAATATCACAGAGTCATGCACATACAAATCCTGGCATTGTTCTTGAAGTTTTCCAACAACTTGCCACTTTATCTGCATATGTAAAGTGGCAAGATTTATGCTGCAATGATCAGCTAATAGTATTCCGTCGAATAAACACACGAAGCCCCCATTTCTACCGGACACACCTGTTTTCATAGTTGGCCGATAAGTGGCCTGGCGTGTATGTTTTTCTAGGTGGCCTATTTTTGAACAGTCAAGAGCAGTTCTCACGTAAACGGGGTTCAATACGGTGGAACTTGAATTTTTAACTATTAATTTTCTCGTGAGTTGGAAATTTGAAGATTCAAATGAAATGTTCTTGATAGCACCACACCAGATATACCCGTGTATTTTTTCCGTGTAACCGCGTAATCATTAAAGAACAAAATTCCCAAAACTAAGGAAACTTGGAGAATCAACTTGAAAATTTTGACTTATGAGATGCACTACTGCCGTGATCATTGTCTAATGACTAATAAGATTTCAATAGCCAAACAGCTAAGCAGGGACGCTGGAGCACATTTTGAAATGGGGGCTCTAGACAAGTAGGGGGGGGCCCAATGATAAGCTGCCACGATTATCTTTGATGCCCCAACATTGATATCAAACTTCAGCAAAAAGTGGAGACTACAGTCCACCCAGTCCACCCAGTCCACCCAGTCCACCCAGTCCACCCAGTCCACCCAGTCCACCCAGTCCACCCAGTCCACCCAGTCCACCCAGTCCACCCAGTCCACCCAGTCCACCCAGTCCACCCAGTCCACCCAGTCCACCCAGTCCACCCCCACCCAGTCCACCCAATACGATAGTGGAAGACCTGATTTTTGGACTACTTAATGTTTTGATGCACTCACTAAAGTAACAGTCTTTATGCTCGATCTTCCAAATTTACGAAATCTAGAAACTTTATCATACAGCTGAATAATTATTTACGAGACAATGTATAAGGTTTTGTTAGTAAAAAACTATTAAAGTTTAGGCCCCTCATACAAAATTAGAATTGACCTTGTCAGTCGGAAATTTTGAGCCTTCACCAATCCACCCCCCCCCCCCAATATCTGCCAATTTACGTCTCTGGATAAAGAAATTGTTGAGACCTTCGTTTACATGGGATTTTTTCCATTTTCAAAATGTCTGTTAGTTTCAAACATGGTATCATTGTGTGTCTTGAAAGTTCGGCTACTAAAGTGTGAAAAAATTGAAAAATGGATCTTTCTATCCAAAAAACGTTAACCGTAACCTTACATGCAAGCGGGTAGGACGGCAAAGTAATGACGCTTTAAAAACATTTTTAGAGTTTTTGCTTTTTGAGAACATGACCTCAAAGAGCACCATTAAATTAATTTGAATATGCAAATAAGTTGAATCAGTTTCCACATAAGCACGGGGTTTTTCCCCAACTGCAATTTAGGCCTGGTTCTAGAACTGAAGAGCCAAGCCAAAGTAACTGTAATATTAGACTTCATATCTTTCATTGGCCAGGAAACCCTCAACTGATTTAAATGATATTGAGAATTCAGAGGTAATTCACTGTCTTCTTTCCGCAGATGTGGTAAAAATTAAAAAAATCCAAAAAAGTTTTTAGTTCGTCATCGAATCGCATCAGTGAGTAGACAATCAAACGATACACATTGTTTTGTGTAATTTGTACAAAGGCCTTTCAATGTAAGGAATGTAATAAGATATAGACAAGAAATAGCTATTCTGTGATACGAATTCTATCAAGTTTCTTCCGAAGCAGCTCTTTAGGAATTATTAAAATGGCTTCTAATCATTTATGCAATTATGGGACCACCTACCAAAGAGTGTTTGAAGTGTATTCTCGCGGGTTTTTTGAGCAACAAAGAAATTGGATTGCCAACATATTGGTACCAAGGTTTGTGGATAAATTGGGCCTAAAGTCAAACAGCTCCTACTTGCGTGTCCTAGCTGTGGGTTCAGGCGTGGGCAGTGCTGATATACGCCTTCTGGATGAATTATTTAGTGGAGCCAAAGATTTTATGAGTGAGCGAAAGATCCAATGGATTGTGGTTGAACCTGATGGAATTGCAATGAAAACATTCAGAGACATAATCAGCAAAAGATCAGAAGATTTCAAAAACATTGAATTTGTGTGGATCAATAAAAGGTTCGAAGAATACACTCAGCCTCTGTTTTGAAAATGGTATATGTGTCATCCACATACCGAAAATAGACACCTGGCTTTTGGTCGTAGTCGAACAAACGCTCTTCATGAAATCCAACAAAGATGTTGGCCAAGGCCGGTCCCAGAGGGCTACCCATAGCAACACCATCCTTTTGTTGGTACATTTCATTGTTAAAGCTGAATTCAACTGAACGTGTTGCAGTTTCCATCAGTTCAATGAATACTTCCTCTGGGAATGGTGGGCTATTAAGCTCGCTCCGGTACAAAGAGTCGGCACATATTTTGATGGTCTCACTCAAAGGGACATTTGTGAAAAGACTACTAATGTCGAAAGAACACATAAAAGATGTTTCGTTTTCGATGTTCAAGTTTTGCATGAACTCAGCGAACGTAAAAGAATCCTTGATGCAATGTTTTGAATATTTTGAAGAACAGGGTCCAAAACTTCAGAAAGCCACTTAGCCAGTTCGTGTTGTGCTGAGCCAATCATAGACAAGATAGGTCTAAGTGGGACGTTCGGCTTGTGTATTTTAGGGAGGCCATACATTTGTGGTCGTTGAGAGCCCGTGGGTCTTATCCTATCATAAATTTCTGTAGCCAACTTTTTTGCGTTGACCAGTTCCAACAAACGTTTTTGGAGTTTCCGCTCTAGTTTGGCCGTTTTGTCATGTGTTTCGACATCACCCAATTTAGCAAATTTTTCTTTGTCGTGGAGAATTACCTCCATTTTATTGATGTAGTCCTTTTTGTTTAAAATTACCACTCCAGACCCTTTATCAGGTTTTGTAATAAAGATGTCATTGTTAGCCCGTAGAGATTTTAGTGCTTGGAAATGTTCTCTATGCAAAAGAAAATCTGAGTGGTCGATGGGAGAGCCGCTGTAAGCGTACGCCAAATCGCTTAGTCGTGCTCGTAATTTGTTAAACTCCAAAGGGTTAGAAATCTCGTGCTTGGCAAGTTGAGCGTGTAAAATTTCGAATTCAGCAAAGAGTTCCTCTCTGTTGATTGTTAGGGGTGGGATACAAAATTCAAGTCCATTACCTAAGACAAATGTTTCAGTATCAGAGAGAGAATAATCCGAGAAATTAAAAATATGTTTTTTGGTGTCGCTCAACATGCCACCGAAACGTTTCCTTACTAGCAAACCAATATTCCTATTGTGTTTTTCCGTGGTATGTTTTAGTGTCCGCTGGTCAATTTCAGAAATGTAGCGGCAAAGTCGAAAATTGTCAAGGAATGAAAGAAATGGACGCGTTTTAGACCATTGGCGTGTATACAGGCATTTCAAGTTCAGAACATTGGTTTTTCTTTTCTGAATCTCATCGTGGAGAAAAGCGCGCTCAATGGTTGGACTTTGTCTAACACCAGACTTGGAAATACGAGCGGTGATAAATTTTGGCACAACTCGGTTAGTCAAACATAAATTGAGAAATGATAAAGAGAACCTGACCGTCCTCAGCTTACCTCTTAACTTCACCAGTTGGTTGAGATCCCCAATCTCCTGTTTAGTGTACCTCTGCTTGAAAAATGTGAACAATTTTTTTGCGGTACAGAATTTGAAAATGGCTTTGAAAAAAGCAAACATTTTACAACATACTTAAAGCTTTTTCGTCTGACACTCCTCAGAGCATAAAACGTCAGAATAGGTTCCGAAAAAACACGATGGAAAAATATTTCGATCCACAACTGGGTATATATTTTTCCATCGTGTTTTTTCGGAACCTATTCTGACGTTTTATGCTCTGAGGAGTGTCAGACGAAAAAGCTTTAAGTATGTTAAAAAATGTTTGCTTTTTTCAAAGCCATTTACATCTTTGTTTATCATTTATTATCTTTGCTGCTCTCCCTATGTGGCCGACCTTGTCACAGACAAACTTCTCATTCTCTGCTTTTTTTGCTGGTGTTATCATCTTTCTAGTATTTTCTAATAGGTTTTACCTAACTAGAGTAGTCAAAGTAGTTATCATATTTCAGGGCACTTCTTGCCCCCTCTGCCCCTCTTCGAAGAGGGCAGGAGGAGCAGCTGCCCCTCCAGGCCCCCTTGTGTAGGCGCCCCTGGTTTATAGTCAAAATATATTGTCTGCTTTCGGAATACAAACCATGGAAACAATACAAACCATACAAAAGAAAAACCTTTAGATTGCAAAGCACATTAAAGGTTTGAATGAGTAAAGAACACAATTTGGACACATAACAAGGTTGATCTGCGGTTTTCCTGCAAAAATGTAGTGTAAAGACGGGCAACCCTTTTAACCTAGGGACCAAGTTTACAACATTTCATACGATGGAAGAACGGGTCGGGCAAGGAAGGCCTGAGCAGGACCTAAAAGCTTCTTTCAATGAAAAATATCAGAGCATTTTAACACAGAACTGCAACTTTCCTGGTTCAAACGGTTATCTCGCTGGATAAGATTATTCAGATCAAACAGATTTGTTGTAAATTGCAACGATAGGGTTTTGCTGGTATATAAGTGAACAATTTTTGGCAGTAAAGAATTTTAAAATTGCTTTGAAAAAAAGCAAACCCTTTTCAACATACTGGAAGCTCTTTCGTCCGACACTTCTCAGAGTGTGAATGTCGGAATCAGGGTCAAAAATATCGAGATAGAAAATATATACCCAATTGTGTATCGAAGTAGGCCAATCAGAAGAATGCGAGCACATGACCGGTATAGTGCTTAAAAACAGAGCCTCTTTGGAAACATTTCTGCTCACCAAAAAAGTGGGGGGCATGGTCCTTCCGCCCCCGCCCCCGGTGGCTTGTCCCTGTTCATCTATAAAAGCAACTATGGTAATTGTTAAGAGAATTTTATAAGAATCAACAAAATTTAACTTAAATACAAACGATCAAAAATATTTAAGATCTAGATGGAAAATACGCATGCCTAGGCCCGCTAAAAACATCAAGAATAAATTGGCAAGAAAGAATTTTTATCGAGTGGAAATAGAAAGGAAACTCTGGAAATAACATATTTTCTTGCTAATCATTGTCATTTCGATACATTTCGAGCAGTACAAGCAAGTTTTCGAATCTGGGGATGAATCTGGGGATGAATCTGGGGATGAATCTGGGGATGAATCTGGGGATGAATCTGGGGATGAATCTGGGGATGAATCTGGTGCTGAATGGTACGCGGTAACGAAAACTTTGGCGGGTTTCCACTTTGGCGAATCTGGTCGCGCGAACCTTGCGATCGCTCGATTGCTATCGCAGGATTGATTTCCACTCTTGAGATTTGGCCGCGAGATCCTTGTCAGTGCCCTAGAATAATTAGGCGCGTAAACAATATGGCGATTACAAGGCCACCAATTTTGATTCTCATTTTATTGAGGTGATGATTAAAAAGAAGAGCACTGCAGGCTCGTAAGAAAAGGAGATGCTGGGTAAGGAAAATATGTGCAGAGAGATATGAAAAGGGAGAGTATCACCAGCTTGTCAAATAGATGAAACTTTTCGACATTTTCAAACGCAAGATAATTTGACTGTACTTTAGGGATTGACTTTGCTGAAATTGACTTTAGAGCGACATGGCTTCTGGATCGATCCTTATTTTTTCCATCGTCTTCTTCTCAGCGTAGCAGAGCGTGGAGTTGACTTTTTGGACAAGCGCCAAAGAAAACAAGACAAGAGGCATTTTACGTAAACCAGACAAAAAACAAAGCATCTAATTGGTTCTTGATAATCTGGTCGCAGAAAAGTTAAAATCTATTCAACTCCCAAAAGCGATCGCGCGATCGCCAGTGCAAAGGGGAATCACTGCCAATGGGTTTAATGCGCATGCCCAGAACAGCAGTCGCGTGATCGCGTGACCTGAATCGCCGAAGACCTGAACCCGCCTTTCTAACACATAGAAAAGAAATGGCTATTCTGTGATACGAATTCTATCAAGTTTCTTCCGAAGCAGCTCTTTAGGAATTAGTAAAATGGCTTCTAATCATTTATGCAATGATGGGACCACCTACCAAAGAGTGTTTGAAGTGTATTCTCGCGGGTTTTTTGAGCAACAAAGAAATTGGATTGCCAACATATTGGTACCAAGGTTTGTGGATAAATTGGGCCTAAAGTCTAACAGCTCCAACTTGCGTGTCCTAGCTGTGGGTTCAGGCGTGGGCAGTGCTGATATACGCCTTCTGGATGAATTATTTAGTGGAGCCAAAGATTTTATGAGTGAGCGAAAGATCCAATGGATTGTGGTTGAACCTGATGGAATTGCAATGAAAACATTCAAAGACATAATCAGCAAAAGATCAGAAGATTTCAAAAACATTGAATTTGTGTGGATCAATAAAAGGTTCGAAGAATATATAGATGGCATACAAACAGCGGATGAACAGTTTGACTTCATTCACTTTTTCAATGTCTTGTATTATATGGACCAAGACGTTGTGCTGAAGAAAGCGTATGAAAGGCTTTTGCAGAAACAGGGGATGCTCCTTTGTGTTGTTGGATCTCAAGGAGATATATGGAAAAATATGATTGAGGCATTTCAATTTAAAATAGATTTGTCTCATTTCCAGCAACCTACAAATGTTGATTTATGTAAAATTGCCGAGACATATTCATGGGATTATGAGATGTTTGACGGGAAATTAGATTTGGAAATAACGCAAATGTTTATAGAAAACAACCCTGTTGGAAAAGCAATGTTGCAGTTCTTCTTGCAAACAACAAATGATCCCAAAGAATTGCTCGGAGAAGAACTGTATGCAGAGTTGATAAACTTCTTCAAATCTCAGAGCTGGGAAGTAGTTAACAACGGATCAAACATATTTTTTGTAAAGTGTGACGAAGGGATTTTGCTTATATATAAGTAATAAATTGTCAGAATAAATATTATCAGCTCTACTGTTTGTTTATCATTTATTATCTTTGCTGCTCTCCCTATGTGGCCGACCTTGTCACAGACAAATTTTTCATTCTCTGCTTTTTTTTGCTGGTGTTATCATCTTTCTAGTATTTTCTAATAGGTTTTACCTAACTAGAGTAGTCAAAGTAGTTATCATATTTCAGGGCACTTCTTGCCCCCTCTGCCCCTCTTCGAAGAGGGCAGGAGGAGCAGCTGCCCCTCCAGGCCCCCTTGTGTAGGCGTCCCTGGTTTATAGTCAAAATATATTGTCTGCTTTCGGAATACAAACCATGGAAACAATACAAACCATACAAAAGAAAAACCTTTAGATTGCAAAGCACATTAAAGGTTTGAACGAGTAAAGAACACAATTTGGACACATAACAAGGTTGATCTGCGGTTTTCCTGCAAAAATGTAGTGTAAAGACGGGCAACCCTTTTAATCTAGGGACCAAGATTACAACATTTCATACGATGGAAGAACGGGTCGGGCAAGGAAGGCCTGAGCAGGACCTAAAAGCTTCTTTCAATGAAAAATATCAGAGCATTTTAACACAGAACTGCAACTTTCCTGGTTCAAACGGTTATCTCGCTGGATAAGATTATTCAGATCAAACAGATTTGTTGTAAATTGCAACGATAGGGTTTTGCTGGTATATAACTGAACAATTTTTGGCAGTAAAGAATTTTAAAATGGCTTTGAAAAAAAGCAAACCCTTTTCAACATACTGGAATCTCTTTCGTCCGACACTTCTCAGAGTGTGAATGTCGGAATCAGGGTCAAAAATATCGAGATAGAAAATATATACCCAATTGTGTATCGAAGTAGGCCAATCAGAAGAATGCGAGCACATGACCGGTATAGTGCTTAAAAACAGAGCCTCTTTGGAAACATTTCTGCTCACCAAAAAAGTGGGGGGCATGGTCCTTCCGCCCCCGCCCCCGGTGGCTTGTCCCTGTTCATCTATAAAAGCAACTATGGTAATTGTTAAGAGAATTTTATAAGAATCAACAAAATTTAACTTAAATACAAACGATCAAAAATATTTAAGATATAAAACTATAAAACCTAGAACCCTGTAGGTCCCATGCTATGAACAACGACGGAGCATATGTTCAGTTCGAATTGGTCGAATATTTGACTTACTTCGTACATATGTCTGGCATAGACTCCTGCGCCATTTTCCAAGTTAAGGAAAAACTAAAAGGTTGACCCAACGCTACCAAAAACTCAGAGAAATACTACCACAATCGCAACTATCTCTTGTGTACCAAGCACTGGTGGAAAGCCACCTGAGATTGGGAAGCTTGATGTGGAGTAATTTTCCTGAAACTCTGCACTTTGCAAAATACACATAATACATATAACATACATATAATATGTATGACCGGGCTTATTACATATGACCGGGCCAAAATGGTACCTAACATTCTTAAGAAAGGTATACGAAACTCACTGAAAAAACGATGTGCAAATACCTAAACCGCGATTAGAAACCTCAAAAAAGACTTTTTCATACCTCGGTGCAAAGGTCTGGATTAATATCCCCAGCGATATCAAAAACGTGAGAGATGCCAGAGAGCACGAGAAATATGATTTGAAACGAGCCTGACTTGTTTTGAAGAATAAACAGTGCTTACAAGTGATGGCAAATTTACAAAGCAATCTGAAACACATCTTTTTGCCTTTGGACGATACTTGTAGGGAATTCTGATAAGTATCACTGGTTGGTCAATATTAAAATTTCTAATGACAAGAACAGCAAAGAAGTGGACTCAGGTTTTTCTTGTTTAAACCATATCATCATTGATGAATGGCGAGTTCAGTATACATTGGATGGTAATTAGTCGATTTAACTAAAATAAAGTTATGAAATGATTGGATTCTTTGCTAAACTCCTAACATTACGAGATGTAAAGGGGTCTTCAGCAGACTTTGTTAGAGATCAGTTCTGTGGAATAGTGTTCACATAGAAAACTTATTCTACAAGAAAGCTCTATGAATTATTTTATCAAACCAAGTTTCGTTAGAGGTTTCTTATTTCTCATTTTGAGTTTTTTGATGTTGACACAATGCACCTGACAAATCCAGACCACGTTTCATTATCTTTGCTCAGTACATTCTCAATTGTAACGAGATGCATGCTGGAAATTAAATCGCAATTATTTAAATAAACTCAAGAATCGAAAATCACGAATTTCTATATCGAAAAAGCTTGACCTTTTCTAAACTCCACTATTTCTTAATGATATAAATTACTTGAATAACAAAAGGATCTGAATTTTTGAAGTTATGGAACACGCAAAAGGCCGACGATCTGGTAACTTGGGCAATCCTTGCATTGCCGTCGTGCATCTGCGTGAGTGGTTACCTTGTCACTTGGCGTGTGGATGTCATTTCAGTTGAAAGGTGAGTCTTGTCTTTCACAATGATATTCTATACAAAAACATTGGTGCCTTTCAATCGGCCGTAAGTTTTAATTTGCAGTTCGCTACTGGCTCCGTCTACAGAAAGGATCTCCCTATAAATCCACAGAAAATAAGAGCGTGATAGGTAACATTTGCATACAGGAAACGAAATTGAGCCAATGGTACACTGATTTTAGTTACTTTTTAAATGCTCTCTTTTGACAAGAAAAAGGTTCATTATATTAAGTGAAATTGAATGACGTTCAAATACGTCAGCATCACAACCCGATTCTCAGCTAGACCCGACAAGAAGATCAGAGAGTTGACAACAAACGTCAAGTCCACATTTAAGTAAGAATCATGTTCTAGAAACTGCAGACAAAAGCTTAAAAAATGAAGACTCGTAGACTCCTTCCACTGAGCAATCGCAGAAGGCAACGGAATATTCGCACCAACTCTAACCACAACCGAAACAAACAGGTGCAAATTTTTCCCCTGTTAAACAAAAATTTATTGATTACTCTTATCGTTCGGGGAAAATGATGCTTTTCAAGTGAAGAATTTGAAAGTTTATTAGATTCAACTTTTTCACAGTTCGTAAGTTCAAGATATGAACTGTCAACGAAGTACAGGTGGGTTAATGGCTTTGATTGTTTACTAAACCAACGAAAGGTGTCCAGAAATGCAAATTCTACCGATTTCTACATTATTCCTAATTGAAATATAAAAGGTTTATAAGACCGTACACGTGGAGTTAAGAAAAAATCACAAGATCCTGTACCCCGGGTGCAGCAGCCAATAGAGAAGTAAGGCGTTGAAGCAAAAACCAAACAAGGGAAAGATTTTGAATGAAAGGTGGATAATAAAGAGAAAAATAAGATACAAGAAGAGAAGAAGTGTAGTAACAGCCACCTGAAGGAGTAGCCCAGACAGAGACTGACTGAATAAGGCTGAAAAAATATGAGGGAAAATAAAATAAAAGAAAGAAAGACATTTTGAGGCCTTAATTTATCTCCGTCTCTCATGAGCACTCTACGCAATCCTGCATCAAGAGGATCACTGTTGCTCAAATAAAAATGCAAATCTAAGAATTATTCATTTTACATAAAGTTGCCATCGAATTGGTTGAGCTTTGCTATGGAAGGGATGGGCCCATCGGGGTGGGGAAGAGAGAGGCGTGGGGTGCCTTATTTCTGTATGAGGGAATCTAGATGGTTAGGATGGAGTAGGCAGGACTAGACGTGGTTATAGAAGAGAAGGATTGAATTGGCAATAATGTTGGTTATGGATAAAATTTTACGGTTTGATTTTACAACAAAATACCCCATCTTTACAAAGCTTCTTTGTCGTTTTCTATATTTATGCTTCATGGTCAAACTGTGTTCAACCTCTTGCCCTTAAAACTTTGTTCTACAACTTTACCTTTCAAACTTCAAGTCACATCAAACCAAAACTATGGATCATAATTATAACAACAATTTTATGAATAAAGCCTTTGATTTTTCTTGGTTCTTAAGTGTTCTAAATCAATGTTGTTTATACTTGGAATTCATTGTCTGACCACCCCTAGCAAAATCATTTTTCAATTTTTCCTTGCCGCCAATTATTGTGGTGACCTTCACCAAACCTCTGAAAAATGTTACTTTTTGCAACCTTAAACTCACCACCAAGTTGTGACGTCCTTGTTGATACTGTTTGGTGAAAGAGACACTACAACGATTCTAATGTATGCAGCCAGGTTTTTGCTAAAGTAATACATAACTTTAAAAAGAAATACCTCACATTTTCTTTTTTCCCTTTTAGTTTCTTTGTTTTTATCGCTGCATATATTAAAATATTTGGGCGTGTTCTAGTATCTATTTTTACATTACACCCTGCAAAGTAAGGTTAAAATAATGTAGGATGATTTTTAGTTAAAATGGTCGGGTTATCTGTCACTAAAGCTTTCAAAGTATTTTTTAAAGAGCAAAATTTACCCTTTTCGGAAGGATACTCCGGCAATAGAACGTTTCAGTATTCGAATCAACTTATTTGTATCTGGTACAAGTAATTCCAGTGCAATAAGATTAAAAGTTTCATTAGCAAAAGGTTATATAAGAAGGGTATTAACATTAGAGACATTTTATAAGCAGAACTTCTTGAAACTGATAAAAATTCTTGTGTCACCTGG